CTATCTTAAAAAAATACATTCGGCACAGCCCTACTAAACAAGGTTAGATGTGGGCAAAGACTCAGAGGTCTGAAACAGGCTACACTTCAGTCAAATTATTTTTTAATTTATTTATTTATTTTTTTAGAAAATGCTGAGATTTTTCTTGCAGTGAACCGTGTGTACAAACTTTACCAGAGTGTTTACTGACTTTGGGATGAATAGGTAATGATAGCATCTTTTATGTTTGATTTAATTTGTTCCCCAACCTCAACTTTCATTTTTCCCCCCAGAATTCAGATCCTTTATCTGTTGCTAGGCAACAGCCGGTAATAATACATGCAGTCGTCGGTGTCGGGTATCTAGAAGTGGTGCCCCACATAAAAACCAAACGGAGCTGCAGAATGTGAATGAAGTGATCTAAAAATAGTCCTGTTGAAATGGTTTTGGTGTGGGCGTATGAATGGTTCACTCCCACACACACGGTTTGATAGGATGCTTCATGTGAATTAAATGAAATGAGTGTTTGGTAAATTAAACAGCAGTATGACCTGATGTTTCTCTTAAGCAGTAACTACATCTCACTGATTTTAATATTCGCCTTGATGTTGCAGTTTCTGTGTGGGAAGTAATTTAAAGTTTGTCACGCCCCTGCTTCACACACACACACACACACACACACACACACACACACACACACTAAGGTTAAGGCCTATTTTTCACTCAGCTGATTTCCTGTGGTTGTAGGTTACTATTTCTCTTGTTTCTCATGGTTATCTGACCTGACATTTCGCTGGTGCTGCTGACAAATGAGCTTTTTAAAGGTCCCCTTTCAAAAAAACATGTTTACAGTTTTTACAGCAGCAGGTCCGTGGTAATTTCCATCCATGCAATCACTCAGACTCATGCTATTACCTCACGCTTGCTCAGTGATGCAGCAATCAAGTCAGCACTTGTGTGAAACTGTGATGGATTTTTTTTTTTTTTTTTTTTAACCTAATATTCGTTTCTTTAGGACAAGTGGCCGAAGAGGATCGGGATCAGGGGCACGCGGACCACAGTCCAGCTCTAGCCAAGCCAGTTTGTGTGAACGGGACAGAGGGGGGGTCTCTGAACAGCAAGGCCAAAGCTGAACGCAGATCCTCCTCTTCATCCAACCCCTCACGTAAAGGAGTCTCCACAGCCAGCAAGATCCGCAAGCTCTCCACCTGCAAACAGCAATGACCCCCTCCCCTTCCTCCCTCGGCAACCACCCACCTGGTGAGTGAGTAGACTGCTCACAAAAGCTCTGACTGAATTGTGCTGCAGAAGTGCTTAGAGGACACCTTCCATACAGTAGACAGAGGGAAAAGATAAACAACCAAGGAGAACAGATGAAAAGATAACGGCGTGTTAGAACAGACGTAGAGATGAGTATCAGGAAGGAGGAAATCAGGGAGGAGAGAGAGTCTGTGTTGATATTCAGAAAGCAGTGCTCTGACTCACCACCACTCCCCAGGCAAACACATGGGCGGTTTCCTATACAGTCACATAAACTAGATCTGGACTGGTCCGGTTTTTGAGCATCACTTTCCGACTCTCTGTTAGGATTTTATTTCGGCTGTAGCCTTCCAGGGGTTCGTCAGCGGCCCTCGTTCAGGCGGAGAAGTGGGGCAGATTTATGCTGCAAGCATACACACCAATTTAACAGGTTGTCCTCCTCTCTTTCCAGTTACCACCCACAGTTTGCTCTTTCAATCTCTCGCACATACAAACCAGTCACGGCATGAGGCTGTTTGTCATGAGTGCAGTGCAGAGGAGATGCTGTGTATTAATTTGTTCAGGCGATGACTCACCCTGGATGAGATAAAGTGGGCTGTGGGATGTTTGTCTCTCTCTTTCTCACCCCGTGGATGATTCTTTCCGTTTTAACAGCACCGATTAGTAGTTTCTTGTTGTAATACTGTGATACTTTCAACTCAAGGAAACTCGCTTTTGGTCATGATATGTGATGAGATAAAACATTAAGGATGCACTGACTGGGAAATTCTGGGCTGATACTGATAGTTAAAACAAGAATTTGGCCATTACCAATGTTTTTTGTTGTCGTTTATTTTTAATTTCCCCTTTTGTGCCGGTGAAACAAAGAAATCTTCATTATGAAAAAATAACTGTTGGGGGCTGATCAAGGCATTTTTTAACTAATTGGGATCAGCTATGTTTAGCTATATAGACCCCAATCCCATCATTTCTTTCACGTGTGCTGTCACACAGGTTTGTCGTTTTACTACACAATATCAGCCCGATTACAGCCCAACGCAGTGCCGTACGGTGTTGGCTCGGATTGTGAGTGACAATGTGAGTGTTGTACGCGATAATCCATCGTTTTATCTTGTGTAGTGTGTCATAGTAGACGACAACCGACGCCACGTATGGGACGCCTCACGATGTTCCAACACAAAGTCTAGCATGTTAGATTTTCTTTTTGTCTTTCACGACTGCTCCCGTCACAGCCGTCACTTTGACCAATAGAAATATAGAGCAATCTGCTGCCGTGGACAACTGTAAGCCAACAGCAGCCCAGCCTTTTAGATATTTGCTCTAGGGACGTTACCATAACAGAGTAAAAGGGGAAAAACAATGGCGTGGAACAACAGAGGCACTTTGTTAACCCAATGAGTATTGTCATTAGCATCAAGCTAGCAAAGAATGTAAATTAATCATAATGGAGGATATAAAGTAAAAACATTAAAAAATAGTGGCTTTTACTCACCACAACTGCAGAGGCTACCAGCTTCATTTGAAACAGACTAAATTATAATCAGGCCATTATTTATGATTCCCTCTGTATATTTATACTTCTACTTTTTATCCGCTCCCGTTTGCCTTGATAAAGTTAATGCATCACGCCGACATTTCAAACTCAACACTTCCTGTATCTGTATAGAATTTAAAAGCCCCTCGGCTGAGAGAATCCCTTCATTTTTTAAAAAGGCTTTATTGTGAAACATTTGCAGGAACTTGTTGTGGAGGATTCGGTAACTTGCGTGTTTGCGTACGGTACTTAAAATGTAGCTCCTGCCATCTGATAACACTTTCTACGTAACTACAACAACATTTCAGCTGACACATGAACAGACACAGTGACTGAAATAATTGTAGTAATAATAAGAATAGGACAAGAATAACCCAATGACATCACACACATCGTGAAAGACAACAGGGGATGATTGGTGTGGACTATCATGTAGTGTGTCATGTCCGTTTGTCAAGTCACGGCACGATTTTAGAACTTCACAATAGCGTAATCTGACATAGTGACTGTCAGAACAGACAAAAATGTCGTGCAGTGTGAACCAGGCATCATATGCACTTGTTTCATTTCAGCTGAGTATGAGAGAGTGTCTTGACCTTTACTGGTTTGAGATTAGTTTATTAATATAATCCACGCAAAAGATATACAGATGACAAAAATCAGCACTCGGACGAACAGAGTACAGTGGAACACAGTTCCTCAAGGTAACAAGGACTTGGGTTGGGAACCGGAGGGTCGCCAGTTCAAGTCCCCATCCGGACCAAAATATGGAGTGTTGACTGGTAGCTGGAGAGTTGCCAGTTCATTCCTGGGCACTGCCCAGGTGCCCTTGAGCAAGGCACCGAACCTCCCAACTGCTCGGAGCGCCTGTCATGAGTAGCCCCACTCTGACATCTCTCTGAGATCTCTCCACTTCGTGCATGTATAGGTCCTGTTTGTGCATGTGTGTGTTCGGACCTGTGTGTAATTGACACAACAGAGTGAAAAAATTGAATTTCCCCTCGGGGATTAATAAGGTATATAAAATTTAAAAAAAATTAAATTAAAAAGAAATAATGTGGTGCATTCTCTGAGGTGTTGATAGTGAGTTCACTGTGTCCTTTCGTGTCCCAGGAAAAATCTCTGTTCGTTCCAAACGTGTTTTCTATTGTCCCTCGAAAACCGCCTGGAGCCGTGCTTTTTAGCCTGTGCAGAATTGATGTGACACAACAGAAAAACATCGGTGAATGTCAGCTTATTTGATGTTAGGCTGATGCAAGTCAACTAGGCAAATATCAACAGACAAATCAGTGCATCCCAAATAAACTGAAAATGAAACTCCACCAGACGTCTGTTATACTCTGTCTTTTGTCCTTCTCAGGTTGATCTGTCCCCGTCCTTCTGTGTCTGGACTCCTCACAGTTGTGAGAGAAACCTGCTGACATTAATGCCCCCATACCTCCTTGGACCACTGGCCTGCAGAGTCTTTTGAAGATGCGGTATGAGTGACGGGGAGGAGGAGGACAGCATGAAATGTTCTTTTTGCTCTGAGACTGAGGCACTGGCTGTGAAGATGGTGTTTTTTTTTTCCTCCCATATTTTGGCTCCTTTAAACTCTTGTCATCCAGTTCTGTCATCTCCCCTCTCCATCCTGTAGTCCTCTTAGGAGGGCCAAATGTTGCACCGGACGTTACAAACACCATCACCCCTGTACCCCACCCATCCACCCCACTCTTCCCCACCTTCTGTTTCTTTGACTACCTTTGTTTTTACAGAACCCTAATGGCAGTTTTTAAAACACATTGTGATGTGTAAAAAATTAAAGAGGAAAAAAAAGATAACAAAAGTTATGAATAATTCTATATTTAAATCTATAATGAGAATAATTATGATAGTACTCTACTACCACCAACATAAAAAACTGCATGCTGTACAGAGCTGGACGAAAGGGAAAGTGCTTGGTTTGTGGACAGACTGATAGACTGAAGCCTTGAGATCCACCGCTGACCTGTTGGGGATTTTTGATTTCCATTTAGGTTTTTTTTTTTTTTGTTTTTTTTTTTGTTTGTTTTTTTCCAATGAATATTTTTTAATTATTATTTATATAAAATATGTCCCAAACAGGCTATTTTGTTGGATGATCCTTTCTGTTTCATTTTGAGTTGAACATATTTTTATTATGACGTACACGTCAGTGGTTTATGTCCTTTTTTTTTTTTTTCTTTTTTTTTTTCCAGTGTTCATTATTTCACCAATCCTTTACAAGGTTAGACTTCTGTAGGAGTACGCTCGTCTTTCTCTGGTGTTTGCACTAGTTCGTAGTCAGATCCTAGAATATCAAGAGCCAGTGCCGCTCAGCTGCAGGCAGTGTGCTGTCACAATCACCCAGTCGCCTGTTTTCTAGCGATGCTGCTCTTTGTTGCGCCGATCACATCAGTGGGAGCCCCCACCCCCCACCCCCCCACCCCCCCACCCTCTTGCGCAGCCAGGCCCATCGTCAGTCCCTCTCTGGGAATAGATCAGAGAGCAGGTGAGTCACAACTTTGAGGGAGGGAGAGAGCAGCGCTTCCCACGTCAGCAAGGTCGACAGAGAGATCCTGCGTTCGACGAGGAAGGATGAAGAGATGTGTCGCTTTAACAGGCTGAAGAATATTTCAGCGGTATGATTAGTATGTCAGGACACCTTTTGCTTTCTGTTCTCATGGTAATGACTCCGCTGTTATGACGTTTTCACACAGTACATGAATCACATTACAACAGCGTAAAATCACAGGTTGGGGAGTCACTTTTATTTGTTTTATTCAGAAAAATGTTCAGTCCAAAATGAATATGTGCCTCAGTTGGTCCCACAAGGTCTAGCCTTTGTCAAGGCTGCAAGACATTTGGATTTTCTGCACTACTCTTTTTACAATAAAGCAGATGGTTCACCATGGATGAGGACAGAGACATGAGTTTCATAACATACACACAGTCATGTACTGTAGCTCAAACCGAAGTCCGTGTGAAAGGAAAGAGGGACAAGCTGTACCCACCATCGCAGTTTCCCAGATGACATCACACATAACATGCAGCAATGTTCTCGTGTTGAAGAGATGCAATTTAACATGAATGCAAAGCGAATATTACATTTTACATCCATACTGGCAGAGAGAGTGGAGGGAAAGCTGTTAAACCTGTGACTTTAACGTGTGAAGACAGGATATCTGCAGAGTATTACCTCAAGGGTAGGGCTGCCAATATTCTATATTTTTATTAATGTCCACAAATTGAATGAAAACCAACAAGGGTTGTTTCTTAGGGGTGTAAATCACAAGTTCCATCTCAATATGATATATCAGTTCTTCGGACAACAATAGCATTTGCTGTTAGCACAAAATCTGGCATGATACAATTTTGATTACGTTGAATTCAGGAGGCTGTGATTGATATGAGACGATACGACTAAATTTCCTCACGGCCTTTTTCTTGGCTGCTTGACATTATCTGCCTCTGTTATGCGGCTAGCACTGCTTGAATCTTGAAGAAGACAGAAATGGTATCACACAAGTGCCATGGGAATTTCAAAATAAAGGTGTATCCTAAAGATGACAATATGAATCGCTTTACATCAGTAACACTGGATCAATTGAATTGATTTCTCGATCCATATTAATGTATCCCGTAGTTCTGGGTGACAAATACATGCCTTTATCTTTTAGAGGCTAAATAATTTACTAAAACAGCTGAGCACTGTTTTTTGGAGTAAAGAGTGAATTTTGGTGCACAAATTTTGCACAAATTTTGCACAAAGCTGTGCATTAAAACATTTTGTGCATATTGACAACAGGGTGTCTACAGGTCCTTCAAATGTCGTAAAATGCTTTAAAAACAGTTTTATGAATATTGGGCCTTAAAAGTAATTGAAAAGTCTTGAATTTGTGACATCATAATTGCCATAAATATTTTATCTGGTTTTATTTATCCATCTAAATTGTCAAAATGAGTCAAGATCTTGTGCTTAGAAGTCGACATTTCTGATGTTACTAATCTTCAAACCCACAAATGGACTTAATACTGCCCTGGGTGGGGCGGAAATGATAGTGTAGTATCGCGATATTTTGCGTGACGATATTGAGAAATTGTTTTGGACGCTGGTATTCGCTGCCTAACCCTTGTGAATTTTTTTTTTAATATAGTTGGGGTTTTTTTTGCCAACTATTTAAAATGGTATTAATAAATCGTATTTTATTGTAGAGGTAAGTAATGTTACAGTTCATTACTTTTATCAGCAGCTCCTGGCCCTGCTGTCGCTCTCCTGTCGCGGCTGGACTGTGAGGTCCACACCAGGGAACAGTGAGAGTCCGCCTATAGACACACACACTCACAGTGAAGGAGCTAACTGTTAGCATCACACGGCTAAATATTACGTAACGGTTATTAACGGGTTAAATGTCAAAGTCGAGCCGTTTCTGTGTCGATTTGAATTTGTAAGGACCGTTAAACGGCCCGTTTCTGATGTTAGCCGTTAGCTCGCGCTAACTGGATAGACGTTGAACTGCCCGCGAGAAGAGCAGTCCGTCAATGCAGCGTCCAAGTTAAGCTATGTAATGGCAGCAAGTGCAAGGTTGCTAATTTTTCATTATGCTAACCTTGAATTTATAGTTTATTAAGCTAATTGAAGCCTGTTTGTTAAAATATGAATGTAAAATTGCACTTGTTTGTTTTGCCAGTACTCCATATTAGTTTAAAGGAAATACTTGAATACGCCCATCTATGGACAACAATGGAGAGGAATAAGCTATACGAGGCTTTGGCTACACAAGTAGGATTAATTATTTTTTAGTTTTGGCCTTTTGGGCATTTGTTGACAAGAAGAAAAACAGAATATCACCAGACTTAAATTTTATTTAGCAATGCAGAGCAAGTATATCCCATTCTGCCACGGTGTGGGAGCAGACAATGGCTCAGCTATTCAGTTTCAACCTCCATTTTCACAGCCTCAACTCTGTATCACTGGACCATCTGTCTGAAAGCCTGAGAGGCTCCTGTGTCAGTCACTTTAAGTATCATCTGTCAGTCTCCCCCTCAGCAGAGTCCCAGCAGTGAGACAACATTTCACCCGAGCCCACGGAAGCTCCTGGATACCGCCTCCTTAATTGTGATGAATAACAGGACCAATGACTAACAAAAATCCTATAAAAATAGATGAAATATGAGTATAAAAAATTCTTGATGTACATATTTTAGATCAGTGTTTTTAATCTGTATAGTCTGGGCATTCCATTTGTGTATTCACTAGATCTGCTGATATGTCGTTAATGATAGAGGGCTGTGACATGATCAGTGTACTTCCCATCGCCAAATGCAGAAACCACAAGCTTCCATGGAGACATTTACCCTCATGGTGATCGAGACAAGAAGGACACTTGAGGAGGATATGATTTTTAAAAATGAGAGAAATGGGTGACAGAAACTCCACCGTTACCTTTCTTCCCGTCAAAGTGCTTTTTGTTTTTAAGTTAAAACTGTACAGTATTCACATACACATTGTTTGGACATACAGTAGCATGCTGAAAATTCACAGTTAAGTCTGAAAATATTTATTTTTTACTAAAGATGGGGCTATATTTTCAAAGCTATATAATGAACTCATTGATTTTAAGAAAGGGTACCAATAGAGCTCTGCAGGAATGAGTCCCAGAATGTGGAATGGGTTAGTATTTTAGCACTCCCTGTTCCCTCATCTCAAAGTCATTGGTTTTCTTAATGGGTTTTTGGGTAGATGACTGAAATAAGGTCTGTGAGTAACACAAGCGTAAGAGATTTACATGTTTTGTTGTAAGACATAAACCATGTCCATTAATACCAAACTCCTTGAGGCCTTTACATGTCTTTTTAAAAAAAATGGTTGTCAGCAAATGTTTTAATGAGAGTTCAGAGCATCATCTTGCCAAAAATGGGGTGCATTCTGCCCTGAAAAAACATAGCAGAATGTTTATTTAATCTGAAACGGTGGTGCCTTGAAAACTCTGTCGTGATACACAGGTGAACCGCCTTTTAATATTGCAGGGTTTCATTCATAATAATTAATTTTAAAGGGCTTTATTGACATGGGAAACATATTTTACATTGCCAGAGCAAGTGTGACATAATAAAAAAATTATGCACAATAAGTAAAGATCTGCAATAATTTGGTTTAATATAGACGTTGCTGCTGATGGGGTAACACCTCTGACGCAACCACCAAGCTTTCTTTAAGAAAACATGTCATTCAATCTGGAAACTGTAGCAAATGGTGCACAATGTATTCAGCTTGTATGTGCCCGCAGCTTTACAGCGTTGTTGTGGTGGCAACTTTGAGGCCATGCGACCATGATGTTGTTCTTTTATAGCCTAATGTTACCTTTTTACTTCTGGAGATTTCATCTACGCTTACAAAAAAATCATAAAAGTGGTGCTCATTTGTCATGATTATCTTGCAGAACAAAACACGTAAGTATCATAAACGTTTGTTTGCCAAAGACCTTATTTTCTGCAATAATCCAAAACCCAATTGAGAAATCACATAGGCTTTTTTTTTCGAGGGAACCAGGGCCACGCTAACTTACATGTTGGCCCACAAATAAACATCATCCCTACAGCACTCTATAAAGGGGAGGGGGGCATCACATGTCACATGGCATCACAGTGGAAAATAAGGTCTGAATGGAAACGCTGGAAGAGACTGGCCATTGAGAAAGAAGTTACTTCTGTACTTTAGGATATATTTGTGTTTTGATGCATCAGTTATGTTGTCCAAATGTAAGGGACGCAGAGATTGACCAAGTATCTAACACAAGATGATGTTTGAAGTGCTATAAACCATTTTGTTCGAGTCTGTCGTCTATAGATAATGGATTTGAAATAAAGTTGATGAAGAAGATGGGCTTGTTAACAAGTTATATGGGACTGAAGCCAGGTGAGGCTGTGTGTGACACGGTAAGCACACGCTCTGTTCCTCCCTGGCCAAGCTTCTCTGCGCTGCGCAGGCCACCGTAGAGCCTCTCTTCCACTGACACAGCCAGCTTTTCTGACAGGCTGCTCTCCAGGGAGACCTCTGATAGAATAGCTTGACTACTGTTGTTGTTTCTGTTGTCGACTCTCGGATTCATGTGGTTTGTCTTTGTAGTAAGAGTGGTCAAAGACGGGCTTGTTGTGCTTTCTTTGTCCTTTTTTTTAGAGGCCTGGCAGCCCTCACCGGTCGATTCTGCACAGCTCTTTGTTGCGTCAGTGCCTTCAGAGGTTGCTTTACTTTCTGCGACATCCCCTGCAGCTCCTTCACTCGACACATCTTTGCTCTCTGTGCTTTCTTTGGCTGCTTCCTCACAAGCTGCAGTCTCACTGGCTTCTTCATCGGCGGCACTCGCAATGCGTGACAGTGTGCTGTGATACCTGGTGTCCAGAGGGTAACCTGCACTGTCACCTCTCCGCAACGGAGTGAATCTCTGCCTCTCCAAAGATGGGGAGTACCTACCCCCAGCACCTGACCCTGGGTCACTGTATTGCTTGTGTCTCTGCCACTGTTTCCGGAGGTGAACTCTGGATCGGTGCCTGGAACGCAGCGGAGAATCCTGCTGGTCAAAGCGTGGATCATGGCGGAGGAACTCATTGAAAAGAGCATCTGTCTTCTCATCGATGCTGTAGTCACGGCGGCGGAGACGGGGCTTATGAGGACTAGAGGGCTGTGAGATTGGCTTCATTAGTGGAGACATCAGCTGCGATTGTGATTCTTGAGGTTTCTGAGGATGAAGGGATTTAAGAAGCTGATGAGGTTCTTGAAGGGTAAGAGACTGACCGCCATTTTTAGATCTCTCCTTTAGTTTCTCCTCTGTCTCCGTGCTGTCGGCCATCTCATCCTCCAGCTCCTCCTGAAACAGCCGGGCCTCAATGCTCTCGCACACCGAACCTTTTCTCCCAGAGCTGGTGAAGAACAACCTTCTCTCAGAAGCCGTCTTCCCTCGAGGAGCTCCAGGAGTCCCAAAAAGTCGCATTTCCTCAGGGGCCCTGGATGGTGCTTCAATGGAGGCATAGCCACTGTCCATCTGGAGGAGCTTACGGTTCCCTGCCTCACCCTCTCCTCCAGCTCCACTCCCCACCTCACTGTCCCCACCTGACGCCCCTCTGATCCCTCCCTCCAACATCTCTCCATCCCCTTCTCCTTCAGGCTCATCGTCCAGGTCTTGGGACAAGCAGCTGTCCAGGCCAGAGCGAGCTCCTGCACCACCAAAGGATGAGACGCTGTCGGCATCACTGCGGATGGACTCCCGATCTGTGCTGCTCTGGTCTGAGGAGGCATATTGCTCCAGAGAGGCTCGCAAGCTCCAGATGTCCTTGTACAGGGAGGGAGGAGCCTCCGAGCTCTCCTGGCGGATCATGAAGGTAAGAGATGAGCCTGAGTCAGTCCTTCGTCTGGCCTCAGCTCCCAAAACCACCTCTTCTCCATCTTCTGCCTCTGCTTCGCTCTTTTTCCTCACATCTGACGTCATGCAGTCTGTCTTTGTTGTCCTTAACATGTCCTCAAACCTTTGCTGTACTGCAGCTTCTTGTTGTGCGCCAAACAAGTCATCATCTTCCACCGACTCTAGCTCGACTCCCTCTGCCTCTGTTCTTATAAGTGCACTGAACTTTGTTTCTTTTTCTACTCCTGTCCCGTTGGCTGTGACCTCCTCTTGTCTCTGGGCGTGACAATCATTTGTTGGTGAACAGAGATCCCCTCTTCTAGTGCTGCTGCTACCACCTACCTCCACCATGGCCTCCAGCTGTAGCCTGCAAAGATGAAGAACAGTCAGTTAATTAATGATTCTGGAAATTTCATGGTGTATGTCAGAGGATTATGGGAAGAGATGTACCTGCTGAGGATGACTGAGGATGTGGGTACTGTGTCGTGGTGAGACAGAGACTCTGCGGAGAGAGACTGTAGGCCACTGGTCTGGATGGGGGAGTGTGGGAAAGAGTCATCTTGGAGAGATGCAGAGTCGTCTTCGGTGTGATCAGTGGTTTCACTTGCAGCTCTCTGTCTCTGGAAGGGCCTTCTCTTCGGGGATCCTGGTAAAAAAAAATTCACATGAAAAGATAGCTGTCTACTTGATGTTTTTAAAAAAAAAAAAAAAATTCAGATGTTATTTGTTTGCATTGTTAGACTTCATCCATTTAGGACAATTATTCAAACCTTTGGCATCCAGGCTGGCAGCCCGGTGACTACTGTCAAATTTCCACCTCCTGAAGTAAGGCCCCGCCCCCTCAAGACTGGCATGGCGTCGCAATTTAGAGAAGAAATGTAGAACTGAAGTCTGGCCCGGAGCTTGAGTCAACTCTCCTCTCATCCCCCTTTCGCTCTCAGCCTCTCCCCTGTCCCCGATAGCCTCCATCTGACAGAAGAGATGAAGGGAGAGGAGGTGATGAGACATTAAGGAGGGGTTGAGGCAGACAAGTTGAGATGAATCGTGACGGGCAGAGGCAAAGCCCTCAGGGGACAGCAGTTTGTCATATTGTCACTCAGCTGCAGTGATGACTGATGTCACAGCGCATCAGTAGGTTTGAGCCTGTGGCAGCTGCTTTTCACAGCTCTGTTTATGTGCGATACAAGTGGATCAATCTGCGCTGAGAAAGCTGTCTGTGCAAATGTATTTCTTGCCAATGGATGCAGGCTTTCCTACAATTTGCTGCAAAAAAAAAAAAACGAATTGCAGATTTTACAGAAATGTCTTCTTTTCATCGGAACAATTGTTTCAAGCAGGAACTAAAAACATGCTATAAATGTTTGTTGTAATTGAAAACATTTCTCACAGGCATTCCTGAGAGTCTGACCCTGAAATGTTGACTTTCACTGGCGACAAGACCTCAGGATGAAAATATTGGTTTTGCCTGAGAACAGAAAAACCTCAATACAACACTGAACATCTCATCTCATAAAGAAGTGATAACACAAGACTAAGACAGCAACGATACTCAATTTACAGGTCACAGGCCCAATAGGGTGCTGGATGGCCCACTGACCATTTTCTAATTTACAGTGAAAATAAATTGATTCACACTGGGAATGTTTTTTGTGCTTTGAATGTAAATAAGGTACCACAGTCAAGGACGGATTATGAGACGATGAACCCCTAGGCACAGATACGCAAAGGGCCCAAACATCAGATACATATACAGACATGGAAGGAGCCTTCTGTCCATACTCTACAGTTACTTTGTTGATTTGTGCATGTTTTCTGAAAGCTTACGGATACAGATATACTGGAGCAGTACCACTGGAGATAGTGGGGGCTATGTATTGTAGTTCAAGCAAGATACCACCATAAGAAACAACAAAGACAGTTAAAAAAAATGGCAGAACGGAACAAATCAGTAATATAGTGAAAGGAATTTTCCATCCACATGTTGCAATGTATTTGATAGCCTCACAAACCACTGCCATCTACAACGCTGCCTCCGTTAAAAGGTACTCCCACACGATTTAGTTATTTGTGTCTTTGAGGTAATTTTGTGTTTTTCGTGTTTTATCAAAGTAATGTGTCTTTTTTAGTTGTTTTGTGTCACTCTGTTTTCATTTTGTATCTCCTTTGCATCTCTTCCTGTTCTATTCATGTCTCTTACTGGTGGTATGTGTTAATTTGAGTGACATTAACCAGGGGGCCCCCCTGATACTTTGGTTTCCTGGGTCTGTGCCCAGTAGACCTGTTTAGTAATCCATCCATGGCCAGAGTGCATAAAAATATCAATATAGAGCTTGTTTATCAAAAAATGTGCCGGGGGAGGATCCCCCAGACTCCTTGACAGTGTCTGGGTTATTTATTTAGATGTTAACTATTAATGTTTGTTTAATAACTGGCCCCTGGCCTCCTGTCATTTTGCAAAAGTGGCCCTTGGGTAAAGCAACTCTGTGAGGCTGTGTGCTTATAGGCACAGCAGTGCTTTGGGCTGGTCTGAACCAAAGTGGTTGACTGACCCACATTACCCTCCAAAGAGTCTGTCGCTAGTGTGGCTAAAAATCTATTGACCTGTATTATATAATGACCATTTTATTACTGTCAGTACAAAGTAGGAAAAAGGTGAAACTCACTGTCTGGGAGCGTGTGTGGTGTGCTTTCATGGATGATGATGCCTGTCTGGGGCCCTGGTCCAGGATGGTGGAGTGGTGCGGGTCTCCAGGCAGTCCTCCGCTGAGGCTCGGTCCCACCCAGTCGGGGACTCTTCTCTCGGCAGGCTGGAGAGAGAAATCGATGCAGGTTAGAGATGAGAGAACAAACCTGGTTTGGTGATATTTGTGAGCTAAATAACAGCCCGTGTAAAGTCACCTGGTAGATGGTGAGGGGCAGTTTGGGAGCTGCGGCCTCATTGATGTTGATGGTGCTGCTCTCTGTTGAGTCGCACTCCATGATGGTGAGGATCTTCAGGTCACAGGGGGCTGGAGGCAGGTGAAGGTGGGTGAGCCGAGCCTTTTTCAGGTGGTGGAAGTCTCCCTCCGTCAGAGTGTATCTAAGAAAGAGGACAAGTCATCTAATCTAATTCCAGCTCATCCATGTAATAATGTAAAAATCACCTGCTGAACTGTACCTGCGTCCCTTGTCCTGAGTCGTCTTCTCCTGTTCATAAAGTGCAGATTCATTAAAGGAGACTCTGCGTCCAGTAGAGCCAGTGGAGACAAATCGCTCTGACTCTCCATCGTGACAGCTCACAGCTGAGAGAGCGTCTGATTCATCCATATGAATGGTGATCTCTGAGTGACAAAGAGAACAAGGACGAACCGAGGGAGTGAAATAGTGTTCGTGACGACAGTGGACCAAAAGACATGTTCATATGTATGCACTTAAGAAAATACACAGCTCTGACCTTGGGTGGGCTGAGAATCCTCAGCATAAGTGGTGTTTGTCTTCTCAGGGTCATCGCTGGCTCTGAAAGGGAAAGATATTTCTTATTATTTGTCTTTCACAGAAAACAAAAAATGCCTTGTTGCATCACAGCTTTAAAGTTCATATTCAACACAGTTTTAAAGGTGCACTACACCCCCAGAATGATCATCTGTATATCTTATACCCATTACTCATCCTATGTTACATTGACTTTGTGAGGATAACTTTGTTTTTCTTGCATGTCTCCACAGTGATCGAAGAACAGCAACAGGGAAATTTCTTCATGAATTGAAGTCAAAGGGGACACAACAGCAAAACAACTGGTGCAGTATAATCCAAGTCTCATTTATCCAAAACACATTCAGTGAGTCCCAAAACCTTACTATTTAAAAAACTTCCATGTAAACAGTCTCAGACAAGTAGCCCGCTGTGGCGAGCATGTGCATTTGAACTCTGCTCGTACATTCCATTGAAATTCTGCCTCCGAGCTCATTCATTGGCCAGCAAGCAACAGGCCTGATGTGGACGTGTTTTAAATAGTAAGATTTTTGCAAAAATACACTTGTTTGGGACATACTGAGCATACCACTGGATAAATGAGACTTGGATTATACTGCCTAGGTTGTGTGAGAGTTTGTAAATGGATGTTTTGATATAGATTGGCTGTCTTAAACCGTGGCCCCTATTTTCTTTTAATTCATTAATAATTTTCTCAGTTTTTGGATTCTTCGTTCACCACGGAGACATGCGAGAAAAACAAATTTTCTTCAAAAAAATTCAACCTAAATCGGGTTGAGTGATTGATATACAAATGGTCATTTTGAGGGTGAAGTATTCCTTTAATCCACTGCTGTAAAAATCATGTTGGCTCTTGTAACCCACGTGTTTGCAGATTAACCAGGCCTGCCAGTCCCACATAGTGTGTCCCACCAGCGCTGCACACCCACCTGGAGTAGCGTCGACCACCCATGCAGCAGCGGTGACAGAAGAGGAGCAGCAGGGAGAGCAGGACCAGCATCCCCCCGGCGAAAACACTCAGCAGCACCAACAGCAGCACATAGTTCTCCACCTGACCCGCTGACACAGGCACATCCTGATCGAGAGCAAGAAAAGAGGTTAGGACTCTCGTAATTCGACTTCATGCTGCTGTTTCCTTCTACTACACTACATTGCAGATGTGAATATAACACTTTTCACTCTTATACATTTATTGGACAGCTTTAGTTACTTCTTGCTGCAAGATTTTATGTACTGTGATACATATATACAGTACAGGCCAAAAGTTTGGACACACCTTCTCATTCAATGCGTTTTCTTTATTTTCATGACTATTTACATTGTAGATTCTCACTGAAGGCATCAAAATTATGAATGAACACATGTGGAGTTATGTACTTAACAAAAAAAGGTGAAATAACTGAAAACATGTTTTATATTCTAGTTTCTTCAAAATAGCCACCCTTTGCTCTGATTACTGCTTTGCACACTCTTGGCATTCTCTCCATGAGCTTCAAGAGGTAGTCACCTGAAATGGTTTTCCAACAGTCTTGAAGGAGTTCCCAGAGGTGTTTAGCACTTGTTGGCCCCTTTGCCTTCACTCTGCGGTCCAGCTCACCCCAAACCATCTCGATTGGGTTCAGGTCCGGTAACTGTGGAGGCCAGGTCATCTGCCGCAGCACTCCATCACTCTCCTTCTTGGTCAAATAGCCCTTACACAGCCTGGAGGTGTGTTTGGGGTCACTGTCCTGTTGAAAAATAAATGATCGTCCAACTAAACGCAAACCGGATGGGATGGTATGTCGCTGCAGGATGCTGTGGTAGCCATGCTGGTTCAGTGTGCCTTCAATTTTGAATAAATCCCCAACAGTGTCACCAGCAAAACACCCCCACACCATCACACCTCCTCCTCCATGCTTCACAGTGGGAACCAGGCATGTGGAATCCATCCGTTCACCTTTTCTGCGTCTCACAAAGACACGGTTTGCGATTTCTAAGGCTGGTGACTCGGATGAACTTATCCTCAGAAGCAGAGGTGACTCTTGGTCTTCCTTTCCTGGGTCGGTCCTCATGTGTGCCAGTTTCGTTGTAGCGCTTGATGGTTTTTGCGACTCCACTTGGGGACACGTTTAAAGTTTTTGCAATTTTCCGGACTGACTGACCTTCATTTCTTAAAGTAATGATGGCCACTCGTTTTTCTTTAGTTAGCTGATTGGTTCTTGCCATAATATGAATTTTAACAGTTGTCCAATAGGGCTGTCGGCTGTGTATTAACCTGACTTCTGCACAACACAACTGATTCAACCCCATTGAAAAAGCAAGAAATTCCACTAATTAACCCTGATAAGGCACACCTGTGAAGTGGAAACCATTTCAGGTGACTACCTCTTGAAGCTCATGGAGAGAATGCCAAGAGTGTGCAAAGCAGTAATCAGAGCAAAGGGTGGCTATTTTGAAGAAACTAGAATATAAAACATGTTTTCAGTTATTTCACCTTTTTTTGTTAAGTACATAACTCCACATGTGTTCATTCATAGTTTTGATGCCTTCAGTGAGAATCTACAATGTAAATAGTCATGAAAATAAAGAAAACGCATTGAATGAGAAGGTGTGTCCAAACTTTTGGCCTGTACTGTACAGTGTCAGGATGAATTCAGAAAACATATATGAACCAAAAAAGTAAGATCAGATGATAAATCTTGTCACTATGAGCAACCTCCTCCCTGTATTCTGTCACTGTTTAGGTTGCACAACATCAATTTAATTCCCATTGTTTGTATTCGTTTGACATTGCTGGAGCTCCTAACTCATTCCTTTAATAGCACAATAAGGCAGCAGCTTACGCATCTCTGTTGTCACGTTTAGTTGTTGTGAGCTCGCCGGCTGCGTTCGTCCTGCTGGGACGGTAATTGATTCTTCTCCCTGTGAGCTTCACAGCAATGAGGAATGTCTTTGTCGCATTACGCTGCCAGCTAAGCGCCGTAATATTTAATAAGGAGTGGAATTAACACTGAAAGACTTTGTTAAGTCCCTGTCTCCTCACAATGATTCTTATCCACACACACACAATCATATACATCCTGCCTGCACACACACACACACACACACACACACACTTACAGAAACTGCTCGCTACTCTCTCTGATTAATACTCTCAGTCGTGGCTGAGTGAGCTTGGGGATGCTAATCGAAACGTCAGCGAGACCCTTAATTCAATTTCCCAGCTCTCCTCAATGATGGGGGAATGAGGCCTCCGCAGGCTAAAAATGGAAATCGGAGGAGGATGCAGCCGCACATGAGCAATCCCCACACCAGACTTTCCTGGCTCTTCTTCCTTTGTCAGTTTCAAAAGAGAGTGAAAATAATTGGGCTCTTTTCACCGTGCACAAATGGAATATGCGTCAATTCAACATTTAGCGTTACATAACACATAAAAATGTTAAAGGTTGTCATTGTGCACGGATTTTAAAAGACTGTTAACCCTCAAAATCAAAAATACATATTTTTACTTTTACCCATAGTGCTATTTATCAGTCTGAATTGTTTTGGTTTGGGTTGCCAAGTGTTGGAGATATCGGCCGTAGAGATGTCTACCTTCTCTTGACTATAATGGAACTAGATGGCACACGCTTGTGGTGCTCAAAGCACTAACAAAAATATATTTCGAAAACTCAACATCAATATCTCTTTCCAGAAATCATGACCTGGTTACTCAAGATAATCCACAGACCTTGAGCAGTTTCATATCGGAACTATTTTCTTTTTACCAAACTACACCCACACCATTGCCTGATAATCAGACAGAATTGTTACACTCAGTTTCCATCTTCAGTCTGACATTGCGTTCAGTCTAACTGATTTCTGAAGGGAAGGGAGATTTGATTTTCCCTTACCAGTCCCTGTAGACCAACTTATCTGCCTGAGTCTAACTTTATTCATTCACACTGACTTGTAGCAATGCCAGCATCCCTTTTTTACCAGGGTTTTAAGAGTGGAGTAAAGTAAGAACAAACTACGATGTCAGGCGATATTGAGAAGATATGTTAATTTTAAAACAGCCTTGATAGCAGCGTCTATCTTGTCTATAATGCTCGTCATCTTGAGTAACCAGTTCATGATTTCTGGAAAGAGACACTGATGTTGATTTTTTTCAAATATATTTTTTAAGCACCTCAAGCAGAGTGTGATCTAGTTCCATTATACTGGAAGGAAGGCAGACATCACTACAGCTGATATCTCCAACACTTGACAACTCACAAAACAATCTAAATTGACAAATATCTCTACAGGTAAGAGAAAACACGTAGTTTTGATTTTGGCATGAACTGTCCCTTTAACAGGAGCCGCAGCAAGGTGACTATAGCCAAAACCCAAAGCCTGCTGCCGACTGTATGTACAGACACTCTGGCTGCAGCTAATGACTATTTCATCATCGATTATTCTGCCCATTACTGTCTCGATCAATTGTTTTGTCTGTAAAATGTAAGAAAAAAGTGAAAAATATATTTGTAAGTTTTCCAAGCTATAGTTTGCTGTCTCCAAATTCCTCGCTTTGTTTGACAAACCCCCAAAATAATTGGTTTACAGCAGCAAAGCCTCACAACTGGAACAGCAGCAAACGAATGTTTGACACTTTGATTGAGAAATGACTGTCGATCAACTAACGGGGGTGTAGTAAAAGACAAAGTGTGAAATTAAGAGCACAAACAGCTGGATTCAGGGTGTCTCTGCTTTCACTGTAAATGGTAAAGACATTTGCGAAAAACAAAGCACTATCTATCTTTGTCAGCAGCAACCACAAGCTCAACCCAACAGCAAGCAAGTCGTTAAGTGGAGGACAGAGTTCTGCAGAAAACAAGAAGGTGTCATTTTTTTACTTTAAAGAAATAGGAAAGATTGAAGCTTATTAAATGTCAAACCTGCTTCAGGCCTCACACTCATAGAGTATGTCTTTACATTTACTAGATGCCTACGTTCAGATGGGGAGATGCAGTGTACTGTGTTTGAAGCTGTGTGTATGTGTGTAGAATTAACAGCTCCATGACAGTATTATAGCAACATGCACACCTTGATACACCCACAGTAGCATGTGTGTGTGTGCAGCACACAAACACACACACAGTTTGTCAGAGCGACTGTAGCTTAATGAAATCTGCTGTTTTTACAAGCTCAGCCAAACAGGAAGAACAACACAATCAATCAGCTGGAGCAGCGAAGCCTCTCGCCAGTCTTTAGGCCATGTTTCTAACACACACTGTCGAGGCAAACAGCAGTCAATTCTCTCTTTCGCACAGACAGCTTTAACTGTCCGATAATCACTGCCGCTGGCTCAGATATCCCCCCCGGCCTCCAGGGGCTGCATGGCACACACAGCCAGCAGCACACACAGTCCTGTTTTTGAGTCAAATCCTCTTTGGATACAGATCAGGCTGTCCTCCACCACAGCTCCACCTGAGATATAATACCTATTACTGGAACACAGTGGTGTTTGCTCACACCTATGGGTTGTTGCTTTTGGCTGAGGTTCACTTTGAGCCATAAAGTAAGAGCTGTTCACAAGACCGCTGACACCAGCTGATGTGAAGGTGTGAAGAGCATGTGTGTTTTATTTAGTGTTTAAATAGCCTTTTGGCTGACACGGGTACATTTCATTGTCCCTGAGAATACATGAATAAAATAGCTAAAATAAAATGTGTTGATGGCGATGATGCATTCACTCAAGATAAAAAAAAATCTTGTTATTTCAGAAAAACAGAATTTTTTCATGACAACGTTTTTATCGCTGGCTGTGCAAACCGCAAACACCACTGTACACTGTATGCTGCTGCTAAATGATCTCACCGTACATCTACAGACTTTTGCATTTGTTGGTTTCTCTGTATAAACCTCGCTTGGGCTGTTTTTTTCTTGGCCTGCGCTCTCACAATATTCTACAGATGTTGGCCCCCAGGGTTCACACTGAAGTAAGTGAAAAAGATTTCAAGTACGCTGCCCCTCCTTCCTGACATAATGAGCAGAAGGACGTAGAATTGTCAGAGATGATTACTGTGAAGGAATATAAGTCAGTTCAAATGGATAGAGAAAATAGCACTCTTGGTCATTGTAATTGCTCCTCAGATTTTCACTGTTTTTTTGTATTGAATTGTACAATCTGAATTCTGTGCTTGCTTATTTGAGGTGTGTGACAGTTGTACTTGTCTGCTCAATGGGACTTTTACCTGGTTGAATATATATATCTCGTAATTCTGGGTTAATACATCATTAATTCAAAGGGCCAGTATCTTTTTCCTCAAGTAAATGCATCATGCTTTTGTAGTGACAGAGTGGGTGGGGTGCACGAAGCTGTACTCACAGTGGAGTTCTCAGTCAGACTTGTCAGAACAGGCAAATCATTGCTCATGGTCCAGGTCAGCGTGAGTGAACCCTGCAGAAGACGGCGAAAATGTCGTCAAACAGAGCTGCAGTTCATTTCTAGACAATAACACAGTTTCTGTTATTTACATCAAAGTGCAGGAGATTTAAACAGTGAGGTGATGTGTGTGTTCTCCACAAGCACTGAATCTTTCAGGTTTTTATAATACCTTCAACTATGTGCCATTCTAAAATAATATATGTCCATGTTGTTAATCCTACTACACTGTTCCCTAAATAAATCTAACATAATTGACTATATTTATATTCTTCTGTTGGCTTGATATTCACCTCAGAGCACATCTACTTGGCATTGTTGGGGATCCTTGATTTGCAATTAGAGCAGCCCAGCTTATTATGGCATGGATTCAAATGGAGCAGATTTGTCAGCGAAACATTCATTCTGTAAACTACTCCAGCACAGTGTAACAAAATCAGGTTTCAAGATTAGTAATGCTGTTTACACCGAATTCCTACACTACCTACAGTAGGTTATGTAACTTAAAAATAGTAGCATCAGATATTTTTTTGCCTCTTTTTTAGGTGGCAGAGTGAAAATTAGTCATCCTGAACATTTGTGGTGTTATGGTTTCAGTATGATGACGACAGTTGGAGAACAATTAGAAACAAAACCATGGCTCTACAGGATGTGTTTTTTTCTCAGTAACGATGTACAGATTTTTAGGCATTCGGCTTGAAAAATAATCTAGTGCATATAGCTGCTGTAAGTGGGAAAACAGGATCCCTTGAATCCTCTAACATCTGGCTCCTCCCTGTCATAGACTCAGTATTTCTAAATTCCTGGCTACAGCCCTGACTGGGCCCATGTTTGCTATCTAGTATTCCACCTCTATAAAACTGAAAGACTTGCAAGCAATAGACTTAAAAAAAAGAGTGGTCACAATCTGTGCAGCAGAGGCTCAGATGTCCTGACTCAAAGTCTAATTTGACAGCATCTTTCATTAGACCGTCCATGCCTGGTAATTAACCATGTCTTTCAAACTCCACAGTCCCAGATTGTAATGAAGGCTGTGTGTTACAGTTTTGTATCCCCAGCAAAGATACCCCTGATGATCATTCGAGCAGCAGGAACAAATTACACAACTGTTTTCACAGCCTAAAAACTGATCCTCCTGTTTAAAAGCGGTGTAATGCCCCTTTACCATACAGAAGTAACAAACGCCTAACTCTTGTCTGCTTTGAGCGCTGTGTATTAAACCCTAATGTGTCTAAAGATTTACTGACATCTCCTTAAGATGGACAGTAACCTCCCCTCTCAGTCCACGGTCTGTAAAACGAGCCTCTGTGAGACAGAGACTGACAGAGACGTGTGGTTAGAGAAGGAGAAAGGCAGAAGAGCTGACAGTATACATAATTATTTACACAGAGCGCAGCTTGTGTAACATCAGCCCATGATTGCATTTTTTACACATGCTGCCGCACATTCCCTCTCCATGTGAGAGTCATATTTTATGTAATATCTCATACATACCAGCAGCTCAAGGTAACTGTGACGAGGACGAAGCTCTGAATAGCAAGAGCGCACCAACAATAGAGAGCCACACACATTCACATCCTATTAAATTTTCTTAACACCTTACTTTTACCTCCCTTTTTTAGCCTTTCTAAACAGTATATAAGCATGAAATAAAAGATTTAACATACTATAATGTAGTTGTAAGCATATGAGGGTCTTACAACCTATTCATTATATATTTACTGATTATTTGTGATAAATTGAGGGACTTAAAGTAAAGTCTTTGCTGAATTTTAATCAAAGAAAACACAGATTTGAGACAGCCAAAGCCTTTACAAGTTTCCACCTGATGTTTCTGTAATTTGACATGATCTCAGTCTCCCCTCGAGACAGACAGATGTGGTGAAAACATCTGTCCTCTCTTTGCCGACTGAATAACAAGCAGTTAAAATGGTTTAAAGCTTTACCTCGCAGCAGAATTAAACAGTCTCTTGCATTATATTGTCCAAGGTCTTAAAAATGTCCTTGCTGGCAGTCTTACATTTTCCTTTTCTTTCTTATCACAGCCTCATAAAACCACTAAACCCACATTTGGAGAAATAGTAGCTCTCAGCAGAAGACTGTATATATATTAACTGACCTGTTACAGCAATTAACCAGCAATTAATACTGCCATAGTGATTTCCTTCATGCATTTCTAACATGTATAATAGTGTGTTGTAGGCATGGGATGATATGAACGTTTCATGTTACGATTATCCTCGCCAAAATGACTGCCATTCATGATATTTGATAATCAAAATATTGATTATTGATCATGTAAATATGGTTGAAACTCTTGAAATTGGCACTAAAACATACTGGAATCACTTTACCTCACATTTTGTTAAGGAACAAATATTTTATTGTGTCAGATTGGACACACAATGTTATTTTATTTTACTTTATTTTATTTTTTAGCAAACTGTTTTAAATCAAAAGCAAAATTTATCAAGGCAATCATCGATATTTATCAAGATCAACTTATTGTGAGTGTGTTTTATGCGTGATCTGTGATAAAACCGTATATAGTCCCATCCCTAGTATGTAGTATAATAGTCCTACATATTAACTGTTGATTTGTGATGTGCCCATCATGACAAACTCACGCTGTGAAGCCAAACAGGGTTAAAAACCACACAAAACTTTATTTTAAATTCTAGTTGAGGTCCCAAAGTTGACTACAAATACCAAGTATATCAGGCTAAATTTGGGCTTATGTGATAAAATATAAAAGAAAATAATTAATAATAATTCTGTTAGCCTAATAACATTTTGGCTACCTAAGTGGAAATAAAAGGAGGAAAGTGTGTGTTAATGTTTATTTATTTATTTTACCTTTTTTGCTTTCTTTGAGAATAATGGCTCCAAAGTTACTATATTATACTTTTGGTTTATCACATTATAATTTTTGTTCAATGTTTTTAAAATGAATCTAATTATTTATTAATTTAGTCACAGTATTTTCCCTGTTATACTATTTATTTTTTGTATTATTATATTAGTTGGTTGTAATTAATATTAATTAGGCTGATTACATTAACCAGCTTTGACTTCTTAGCTACATCTTTATTTCATTTTAACATTAAGGATTAGTAACCAGAATAAAATTGAAAACACTGACCCCGACTGGTGGAGAAAAAACAAATCCAGAGTGTGTGCGTGTGTGTGTATGCGTGTGTGTGTGATGCGTGTGCGCGCGTCAGGGTCCAATGATATGTTACATCCTTACATAATCTCTCGCTTTAACCATATAAATACATGAGGCAGGCAGACAGATGGACGGGCGGCTCTGACAGACAGACAATCAGACTTTCTAGTTCATTCCGTTAGTGACTGTAATGATGCTCGTGGTGTTTACACCCTTATAAGCACCATCAGTAGTATATAGAGGGAAAGGAGGAGAAGAAGGAGGAGGAAGAGAGGAGGGGAGGGGAGGTCACTGCATATCACCCCGACGTGTGACTGTATGATGATGATGATGATGATGAAGGTCTCCAGATGTGCTGTATCTTACGGTCTATACAGGCGGTGTTGGAGCAGCTTCCCTCCGCTCTGTGCAGACTGACTACAGCGACCCGCTGCAGCCGGCGGCGCTCAGCAGCAGCAGCAGCCTCAGCATCAGCATCAGCAGCATCTTCCTCTCTCCTCCGAAAACCCTCCGATCGGGGCTGTCCCACATCTCTGCGTCGTCTGCTCTCAGCCTGCGGGGAATAAACCACCATTAGTCACACAGCAGCCCTCATGTGCCGGACACGGGGGCTCCGCCGTGCTCAGCGCGCGCGTCAAACACCTCTCACTAAATCACCGCGATCATCCAGAGCCGGCTGTTGTCACCTGCATCTTATATAATGAAATAGTAGCACATTACACCGCGAGCACGCCTGTGGGTCCGGTGACTGGTGCTGATGTGAGCGGGACAAGGATCGGACTCACCCGGCTGTAGACTCCGTGAGAAGCGGCGGTCCACAGGCAGCCTGCCCCGTCTGCATACTTTAATTTGGGCTTCAAATGAAGACTGTAGTTATGAATGAAACCACACGCGATTAGACACACCCACCGCCCGCTCCCTACGCACCACGTGACCCAGCCCCGATGATGATGGTGGTGATGATGTGAGATGGAGGAGAAAACCTCATTCACAGCAGTTGGTCATGAATGGCAGCAGCTGACAGAGCCATAGATCTGTCACCTGTTTGATTCATATTAGTATCAGTGTAGACATTTTGATTAATATCTGCATATTTTCCATTTATTGTCTTTGAGTCTGTCAATGTTTCTTTGTTGCACGACAGATCGCAGCGAGACAGACGGGTGTTAGGGACGTTTTTGTAGTCTCACGTTTCACCACCTGGCGGCAGCGTTGCACTGTTTCCTGGTTACATACACTTCATGCAGCTTTTCTTATTTATGTTCAGACTCACAGCTTCATAAGGAATAGTTTAAATGAATTCTAATTCAATGGAAGTGATCCAAATAAGAGAATATTTACATCATGTGCATTTGTCGCCCCCCCATAAAACCATAAAAGTAGCAAAGATCTTTCATTTTGACAGAATTTAAGACATTTACTTGCATTACTCTAATGTTTCAACTGCAAAACTGTAAATATGCCATTCTTTTGTGTATATATTTTTCAACAAAATCCCCAATTTATGTAAAACTAATATACAACTATCCCCAGTCTATTTACCACCCAGTTTAAATAGATAATAAACCCAGATTATCTACGGTCCAAGTACCACCTAGTGTTACAAAATAAATATGCACTCCCCTAACACAACCTTTCCTCATCTAAATATCTGCCAAAATATCTTTTTTGTATGTTTTTTTAAGTGATTTATATTTGTGCTTTGTTGCAACTCATCATGCAGCCCATTCCACAAGTCCACCCCACACACTGAAATACACACTCTTCTTAGTTGTACAAACACATTGCCTTTTAAAACTAAATTCTCCTCTTACATTACAACCCCCCTTCCTGTCACAAAACATTTTTTGAATGTTGCCTGGAAGTGAATTATTTCTAGCTTTAAACATGATTATTGCAGCTTTAGATTTGACCCGATATAAACTTTTCAATGCACACTTGTGGTATGAACCACATACTTGTACATATTTCTTATATTATTCGTGCACATATTTAATCTATTTCTCTTTCTTATACAACATATCTCTTCTTATGTATTTTATGTTTTATCTAGATTTTTATATTCATATATACACCGATCAGCCAAAACATTCAAACCAATGACAGGTGAAGTGAGTAACTTTGATTATTTTGTTCCAATGCATTGTTCTGCTGGGAAACCTTTAGTTCTGGCATCATGTGGATACCACCTGACTTGTTCCACCCACTCAAACACCGTTGCAGACCAAGTACGCCCCCTCATGGCAACAGTACTCCTCAATGGCTGTGTCCCCCCAGCAGGATAATGCACCATGCCACACTGCAAAAACTGTTTAGAAATGGCCTGCGGAGTGTGACAAAAAGCTCAAAGTGTCGACCTGGCTTCTAAATTTCCCAGATCCCAATCTGCTCAAGGATTCTTGTGATGTACCCCAGATGAACCCCTAGTCCAAGGTGGGGCCTCCTTGGATCGGACTTGGCTCCGACCTGTCGAGGCATGGATACCGGATCTCTGAGGGAGTCCTGCAGTGTCTGGCACCAGTGTGTTGGCGGCAGATCCATTTAGTCCAGTGGGTTGTGAGGTGGGTTAATGGCACGTGCCACAGATGCTCATTCAGATTGGGATCTGGGGAATTTGGAGGCCAGGTTGAAACTTTGAGGTCTTTGTAACATTCCTTGAGCCATTACTGAGAAATGTTTGAAGTGTGGCATGATGCATTATCCTGCTGGGGAGACACTGCCATTGGGGAGTACTGTTGCCATGAGGGAGGGTACTTGGTCTGCAACGGTGTTTCAGTGGGTGGAACATGTCAGGTGGTATCCACATGATGCCAGAACCAAAGGTTTCCCTGCAGAACAATGCATTGGAACAAAATAATCAAAGTTATTCACTTCACCTGTCAGTGGTTTGAATATTTGACTGATCAGTGTATATTTATATGTATATCATGTCATATATTGTAGCATAATGCACATTTTTATTACATAATTTATATTCTATTTCAGTTTTTTTATGTCTCAATGTCTAAATGGTATAAGAGCAACTGTCTCCCATATGTCCCCTGGGGATCAATAAACTTTACTGAATCTGAGTCTGAATTTACACTATAAATTGATGTAGAAAACAAACTTGGTGTTTAAATATTCACCAGAATTCAAGAAATTAAGTATTTGACCCTTAACATTTTCTGGCAGAGGACCCCCAACCCACCATTGCAACAAAACCTACCTGCCTGCCACTTAGCATTTTCAAACCCTTTGTAAATGTTTGTCTAACCCTAGATCCAGCTCTAGTGCATCCGTGTATGAAAATGTCTTGATATAAAGAATAATTTAACAGATTGATTGGGGTGCAGGTTTGGACGTCCTCCTGACCAAGTTAATCCACCTTTTTAAGAGTGTTTGTAATTTGGTTCTGTTTTTAATTTTTTTCCATGATAGCTTTACATTATTTTTCCTATCCCCTGCATTTTTTGCACAACAAATATTTCAACACTGCTTTCCTTCACAGTCTAATCCAAAAAAGCTTTTTGTAATCATCCCCTCTGCAGCGCACGCTCCTGTGTGATGTAGAAATTAAATGCATCGACTGCAAAAGTGACAGGAGGTCTAATCTGCGCCTCTGTGATAACAGGAAGCAGAAGGATGATGTCTGAGTTAGTAAGTCAGACATCTGAAGGACTCATTTCATGTTCCTGCACAAAGACTTACCCCCAAACTTTAGCAAACTGGCCTAAAAGTGGAACAGCTGGTTGAGTGACAGAAATAACAACTCACATGACCAGTGGTTACTTTGACCAACTGAGGGACGCAGTTCAGAGCCAACAAAGTGACCTACATGTATTTACTAAATGGAGCTAACAGGCATAATGAAGTCTGCTGGAGGAATGAGGTGTCACGTTAGAGAGATGCGGTTGATTCAGGAATGTGACCACACGTGTCCTCATACGACATCTCTGTGTTAACTTGAATGGCCTCTCGTGTCTTCTCAGGCTATGTATCGTACATTCCAGTATATTTTAAGCTTCTCTAAGCTTGCTTAAGAGGGTCTAATTTACTCTACAAGCAGAGAGCTTCTTCATAAATCTGAAACATAAATGCAGCATGTGGTTTTCAAGGACTTTGGAGTTGTGTATATACTCTAGAAGAAAAAAGGTAGCTCTTAGAGCCAATATATGTATATACATTTATTATCAGTTTAATACTCCACATGTAAAGAAAAGGTTTAGTTTTCTTCCATGAATACAAAAAGTATCTGCATATCTAAAAAGATTATATCATTCTTTCAAAGCAGTTCAGTTAGAGTGGATACAAATTGGTGTTGTGAAAATAGAGACAATGCAAGATGTTTTTTGGACAGTTTTTTTTAGCATACGGTTAAGCTTTATTTAGATTTAAGTGTTAGTGTCACTCCCAAGATGTGACCTTGAGTTGTTGTTTTGCATATTTGAAATGTACACTGATTCAACTCAAAGATTATCTATGGTTGCATCATTTCTAGCATGTGCAGTGAATGTATTTGTACTTTGTGACTGTGACCAGTGATATTATTCATTAGAAATCATCTTCCTTTAATGGTAAAACAGGAGTTCTACAGGGTTCTGCCCTCGGCCCTCTTCAGTTTATGAATGATTTAGTTGAGTCTATGTTGTATATGAATTATATTGTGTATATATGTGTGTCCACCGGAACTTTTTCATCCGTTTCTACACAGCTGATGCAGAACTTAAAAGCTTAGCATTAGCCATCGTAAGCTACAGGTCCTACCAGACCAAGTAAAGCTGTGAAACCCAGTTGCCAGACACCGACACATTACATTTGTACGTTAATATACAGTCAATACAATGAAACCATTCAAAAGCACATGCCCCATGCACAGAGCTGTCAGTCCTCATAACTTGGTGCAGGTGATGGCAGGAAACATCGGATTGTTAGCCAATAAGCAGATACACCGCACACAAGAGAGCTGAATTGGTTCTTCTTTTAATTTAGTCTTCCCTTAAAATGCTCCAAACAACTCGTTTCGTCCATGGCTTTATCAGGTTCGTTGTAACAGGTGCTTTTAATAAGGCTGCAGCTGCACTGAATCCAATCAGCAGCAGGGTGATCGTGTACTGAGTAGACTCCATATATGGTTCTGTGTACATGTACACCACCCGAGAACACCCCATATCATGCAAACAACCAGACATATTGCATTACACACACCCTACAACTGACAGTTTAAGTCACTATATCTCGAGGCGAGGGGAGAAGGGAGTGTCCTGTTCTTCTTCTTCCTCAATTTGATCTAATTGTCTGTAAACAGAGGAAACATACATTAAATCAAGTATGAAGATACAGTTTTACAGGTAGAAAAAAACAAATCACTCTTGGTTATGGTCAGGAAAAGATCACTGGCTCAAAAGGGTTGAGTTGCACCTTAAAAACTGTCTTTTGTTAGTTGTCTTCTTACGGTAGTCAGGGAAAAAGTATAGTCAGTTGTGTAGTGGATGGTGTATGCATCCATAACCTCCTTTTTTCTGGCTGTTTAGAGTATACCCACCTATCAGCCATGAAGCTATTGGAATATATAGCAGAGTATACCCACTTCCTCCTCAGTAACCTGTCCGTCTATCTAGAAGTACACCCACCTCCTCAACTACCACTACACCACTGAGTATAGTGCAGCAAGGGAGGACACACACAGAGAACATGCCACATTTTGCACTCAGGAAAGTCCAACCTGGACTTAAACATATGCACATTTTTTCACCTTCTGTATAGCCCCAGTATGTGAAAAGAAGCATTTAAAAATCCAAACTCCAGTCTTAATCTCTTTTGTTCTCTGTGTGTGAGTCCTCCCTTGCTGCACTGTAGGAAAGGATCATGTTTGGGTTTAAAAAAATGGTTTTGGTGGCACTATCCTAGTAGGAAACGCAGTGGTCTCGGTAAAAACAATAGCTTTTCAAGGCCCTATTCCCAGAGGAAAAAAGTGAAGAGTTGGTAAATAACACTCACATTTAGGGGTTAAAAAACTGATGGCAGCAATGATTCGCTAAAAACCAACTGGTTTTGTTGTTTGTTGGTCTTAAACAGTGGTCTGCAGCCGAGGTGTCACACCATCCACCATCCCCGACTGGGTTGAGCAACTTTGCTTTAAGTTATTGTGTACCTCTCAGTCACAAGCAGTACCTAGAAAGAATCAAACCTCTTAAAAGTGATATTAATGTTCCATTAAAATGTAAGAAACCCATTCATAAATCTTCCTTTGGACAGATGTCTTTCTCTTTTTGGGGGATCAATATGTAGACTATAGATGGGATGATTTAAAATTCAAATTGCAGAAAATATTAGTCATATTGTTGTGAATGTTCTGGTGCGTGTCATTGAGTTTTATGGTAATTTTGTTGCATCATTGTTATGTGTTGTGCTGCGTATTTTCCCGTCGAGGTTTGTGCATTTGCAAAGGCCCAACAGGGACGGGCAATAGGCTGTAAATCCTGTGGCTATACATGTCCCATTAAATATATTTTGAGGCCTGCTGTGCTTTACAGTGCGGGGGTAAACAGATGGCTGAGCTTAAGACAAGATATAGAAATACATTTAAAACAATTAATTCAGATTTTTAATTCCAGTATGAGGATATAAAGTGAGATCAGTGCAGAGCCATGAATGTTCCACTCAATATGTGTTTCTATATTTGAAAATGTTCTCAGTCTATAAATTATATTCCTGTTAAAATATGCAGGACTCATTCCTCACATGCAAACGTTTTTATCTCTGAAATTCCAGCGACTCCAAGTTGTAACGTACCAGAGGATTGAAACATCTGGGAAATGATGCCAGGAGAGGCTGTGGAGGGGTTGGTGGAATGTGGAAGAGACGAGGGAGAAGGCAGTGTCTGTGTGTGTGTGTGTGTGTGTGTGTGTGTGTGCTGCTGAACGGTTGACGTCAGAGCTGCGTCTGTGCATGCTCTGGAGAGCAGGACATCCTGTTGGGATTGTTCTCAGCGAGGCCTGAAGAATGTAAAGCAGCAACCTCTCCCTTCTCGTCTGTCTCGGCGAAACTTTGGAGTGGCACGCTGCCATAGAAATGTTGGGGAGGACTGAGGGTGGGGGAGGCACTGGGAGGAAGGGAGGGCAAGATCTCCATCAAAATCTCAGTGGGACATCAGGTTCATTGAGTCACTTAAGGGGAGAAAAGACAAAGAAGAGATTGGTGTGGGTTTTACTGTGTGTGCATAGATCTCAGATTTCTAGAGCATATATTAGAGAAAGAAACAAATAGAGATGAAAAGACTGAAACAGTAACACAGAACAGAAAATGAGAAGATGATTGTTTTTCCTCACATACTGCACCAGTTTTTGACAGAAAAGACACCCTGAGACAAACAGTGAGTGTGTGTGGGAGGGGGTGAGGCAAGGAAGGGAGGTAGGTGATATGGGAGGGGAGTGACGCAGGCTGGATAAAGCGGGGGTGTTGTGGGTGTAGCTATTTTTAGCCACTGTGAGGAGACACATATTAGCTGCATCTCTCTGCCCTATCCTGGCTTCCTACGTCACTTTACTCCAAGCTGGTCCTCTTTCCACTGCGAGTCATGTGACAGGTGCAGCCCCGAGATCCTGCTGTGGACCAGAGGTGGGACACGAATACTAAACAGCCGAGGATGAAAAAGACTGCAGAGAACAAAGGGTGGATGGTGGATGCTGTCTGTGAGCGTCTCCTCCCACTGGCTGAGCAGGGGGGATTATACCGCATCCATAGATGTGCATGTGATGGACCGGTCAGGGTGTTTCCCTGCATTCAGCCCAGTGCATGCTGGGACAGGCTTCAGCACCCATGTGACCTTGAAAAGGAAAAAGGAGGAATTATTCTCTCTATTCTTCTTCTGTTCTTCTCTGTCTCTTTTCTTGAAGTATACTGAATTTTATCTTCATCTAACTGATATTAGTCATTTAAATTTGTGATTTTGAGCTATTTGAATAAACCTTACTTGCTTAACTTGACTTTTCATTAGGCTTACGTGTGCAGCTGGTAGTCACTAGGCTTAATAAAACTACAAGCGCTTCTTTACTGTACATGTTGTGCAGAATTTTTGTATCTTATTATTGTATTGATATAACCATAGGCTTAGATTTCAGGGGGGAAGCAGGGGACACATCCCCTCTCAATATTGAGAATGTGCATTTCATTTATTTATTCATTTTCTGTAACCACTTATCCTGTTCAGGGTCACGGATGTGCTGGAGCCTATCCCAGCTGACATTGGGTAAGAGGCAGGGTACACCCAGAACCCTCTTGCTGTGAGGAGACAATGCTAACTTGCAGAGGACATTTATTTTCACCAAATGAAGGACATTTCTGCCATAAACCGATGCAGAAAGAACAGTTATTGATGCATGAAAATTCACTAGAATGCAGGAAATTAAGTGTTGACACCCAGAATTTCCTGGGTGAGGACACCAAACTCACAAGTTTCATATGTGTCCCACCCAGTGTTGAAAGGAAACCTACGCCCTTGGCCACATAGGTGTAGATTAGTTGGGTCCATTTCAATATTTATGCATTTGTCCCCCCAATAAAAACATAAAAGTCAAAATTAAAGACACTTTCACCATTAATTGATGCAGAAAAGGCAAAATGAATGCATAAAAATGCTCCAGTATGCAGGAAACTAAGTGATCCAGAACCCCCAGTTTCATATGTGTGTCCCCCCAGTGTTGTAATGAAACCTCTGCCCTTGGATATAGCACAATAATGCATATTCTAGTCCCTGGGGGCTTTACAAACCAGACCACAAATGAAAAATAACAGAAACTTAACTTTAAAAATGATATAATAGGTACTACAGGAACAAGGAGGACTTTACACCTTCGGACTCACCCAAAGAGCAGCTGCACCATTTTTTACGTCTTTTTTTACAAATTAAAAGAGCACCATGTGAGAAAGCCCCCTATAGTGTAATAACAGGGCTGTTTGTGATCATCACAGGAGATAAAGTGGATTTGACTATGAATCATTGTAGCAGCAGCACCGAAACATTGTCTCTGGAAAGCTTTAAATAATGTAAACAATCATTTAATATATCACAAATCAGAGTACAGTTTGTTTCACTTGACTGACAAATGAGACAAACATTTTGACATGATGACATCCTGTAGATTACAACATGTTGTAGTGCTCTGCAGATTGCATCATTTATGAATGGTGAGTGGGACACAAAGCAGGGAGGAGCCATTTTGAGAAGCAGGTGTTTCTGATTGGACGGTGCAGGCGGACTGGGCTCGGGACTCTCGCTGATTGGCTGTGTGTGTGAATGGGGCGGGGCTTTCGCTGAGAGGGTTGGGGTGTTTTACGCTCGGTCGGTGAAGTAGTGCTCCGTCTGTCACAGCCAGAAAGAGAAGCTGTCACGGGCTTCTGTGGGTAAACCGTGCCGTAATTTAGTCTTTTAAATGTTGAAAGCTGCTTCACGTTGTCCACTGAGGAATGAGGAGCAAGACTGAGAAGAAAAACACTGTCGCATCTTTCTCATTTTAACCGAGCGACTAGAGTCTGGTTTAAATTTCACAGTAGATCAGCTGAATGGAGCAGCAGAAGCAGCAGCAGCAGCGGGGCCTCTGTAGCTTCACACCGGGCGAGCGGGCAGGCTGCAGGGCTGCGGTCTCCACCGGTCAGGCCACCATGCGTTTATCCATCACCTCGACCACCGGCAGCCCGGTGGAGCTCACTGTCCCCAGAGGAGAGACTGTGGAGGGACTGAGAACACACATCTCCCACAAACTCAGGCTGCAAACAGACAGAATCGTCCTCCTGTACAGAGACAGGTGAGCTCCCTGAGACTCAAACACACTTCTTCATCTTTAGTGTAATTTAGTAAATGTATTCTGAGCGTATTATGTGCATGTGGCAGGCAACTGACTGCAGGCAAACTGTTGGACCTGGGTGTAGCAGATGGGAGCAAGCTGACCCTGGTCCCTGCTATTGAAGCTGGTTTAGTGGTGAGTGAGCTGATGTACATCTAACACTGGGGAGAACGAGATTTAACCACACTTCATGTGGAGATGACATGTTCTATTTTTACTGCCACAGTGCTCCACTGCCAGAGCAAGGAGGACAATGATGGACGTCTTGGAAAGTTTAACAGAAGTCCAGGTAGGTTTAATGTCTTAAGTGTAATGAAATGACACTTGGTGAATGCATGAATTGGTGAGGGGAAATATCTTGTAAAAATGTTAAACTATGCACTGGTGTGTGTTTCCCACTCATTTTGTTGAGTAGGATATAACACACCATCTCACAGCACAGCCCCAGAACCTCACTTTGGTGTCTGTGCAGTGCCGGTCATAGCACATTAGGTGCCACTTGCCCCCCCAGCCCTCCACCCCAACATGTAATCTGTGTAATATAATCTTTAGGGCTGTCAAACAATTAAGAAAAAATAAAATTAATCACATGCTCTGTGATTAATTAATCTAATGAATTTTGGCAGATGTGTTGTAGTAAAGCTGCTTGATTTTGGACACACTTGTCCCCCTGTCCTCACTGAAACTGATCTGCAGTCCATTGCAAACCATTTTGTAAGGGAGTTAGTTAGTCAATCACAGGTAGACTCACTCAGTTTGCGTCTGAACACCTGGTTGATTGTGACTTAACGAGGCTGTATGCTAGCGCTAGCATCAGAGACTGTGCTAGCTGCTAAATGTTTTACATTGAGGTGATATTTCAGGCTTGCAGTTCTCCGATGGTGCAAAAATTCTGGTGCTCCTATCAAGAGTTCCATCTGGGCGTTTTTTAAATGTAAATGTCTCAATCACGGGGCTGAGCAGCATCACCTCCATCATGTGACAAAGTAACTGTGGCCTTCATTGACGCACTGGGTCAAAGGGCACCACAGAACGTGATTAATCAGCTTTAATTTTTTTTAACGCATAATTTTTCCTCTGATTAATGAATCGAGAGTAACGCGTTATTTTGACAGCCCTAACAATCTTATATTTATTGAATTTATTGCAAACTAAACAAGACTATGAGGACATAAGGACATAATATGGACATAGGTAGGCAGCTAACAGTGGTAGTCCATTGACAGCTTTAAACAATGGAAACAGTGCTGACAGAGCTAACGGTCTTAACCAGGGGGGAACCGGAAAGTGGGCGCTATGCTGCTGTGGCTACATTCCCCAAGGCAGCAGTAACTGCTGTATTAGCACATTGCAAAGTGGCGGCGATGGGCTAGCAAGTGGGATACACACATGTACTAGCATGAACGCACAGCCAGACCATCTCACCACAACAAACCACAGTGAGGCTCAGATTACAACACACACACACACACACACACACACAGCGTGACCATGAGGACTCCATCACTCCAGTGTATCTTTTCATAGCTGTAAATGAATGCTCTGAATGTCGCATCCTTTAAGTAATGTAAATTTAACTCTAAGCGTGTCTTTCCTGACTATCCTGCAGATTAGTGACTTCCTGTCTGGGCGCTCGCCTCTCACCATTAACCTGGGAATTGGTGCCCACATGATGTATGTGCAACTCCAGCTGTCCGCACAGAACGTAGTGGCGTTGCAGCAGCACCAGGAGCTGAGAGCTGGGAGCAGCGGCGAGCTTCAAACCAGTCTGCCCCCTGCTACCAGGATGAGCCACCCTGACTCCAGGGGATCCACCATTTCCCAAACCTCTACTCCGGCCCCGGACTCATTGGACTTCACACCCTCGATCCGACTGAGCGCTCAAAAGCACAAAACTTCCTTCAACTCAACAGCTCCCACCTCCCACTCACACACCTCTGCCCCTCCACACCGACCCCGTCCTCCCCACTCTATGTACATGTCCTCTCCTGTTCTTTCACCCCCTTCCTTTCCTTCTGGTTGTCCACATCCCAGCTCTCCACCACCAGCAGCCACACCAGTCTGTTCAGCGGCTCCCACCTGCGCCATTCCTGGTCCCCGGAGTCCAGCACCAGCTTCAACCTTCAAAGAGGTTAGCATCACATATTCTACTGCTGTGTTAGTGACTGTATTAGTAACATCACCTGCATAACAAGATTAGAGTTCAACATGTCCAGTTTTAGCACTTCTATGAGCTTTTATTCCTCTTAAATAATCTTTTCCTTCTTGTTTTACAGAATAATGTTCATACCTCATCGTCTACTGCAGAGCTCTGCAAGAAGCCAGGAGCGGTCATAGAGAGTTTTGTGAGCCACTCGCCAGGCGTCTTCTCTGGGACTTTTTCTGGTAAGTGTGTGAGCAGCAGAGGTCTGGAGACTAACATAACACAACCAGATAGATAGATAGATAGATAGATAGATAGATAGATAGATAGATATCTGTTTATATTTACATATGGAGCAGGTCCTCTCTTGTTTCTACAGTAGCTCCAGGGTCTGTGATGGGCCATGTGCATTTTTGTGTCAGCCACTGTAGTTCTCCTACATCCTTGGCACATAGGAGACGTTTCAGTTCTGCAACCGCACCGCCAAGCCACCACTAAATTCTACACACTAGACCTTTAAAGGGAAATTGTGGTTTTACAGCGGCCAAGTCACAAGTAACTGCACGGAGGACTGGTTTTTAAAGGGACAGTAAAAACCAGACATACATATTTTTCCTCTTACCTGTGGTGCTATTTATCGATCTAGATTGTTTTGGTGTGAGTTGCCAAGTGTTGAACATATCGGCTGTAGAGATGTCTGCCTTCTCCCAAATATAACTAAACTAGATTCCACTCGGCTTGTGGTGCTCAAAGCAATGTTTCCTCCCAGAAATCATGACCCGGTTACTCAAGATAATCCACAGACCTTGTTGCGAACATTTTTATGTCAGAACTGTGTTCTCACAACCAAACTACATCTGCTAACCATATCAGTGGTTGTAATGAATGACAGCAACGAACAGTTATTTTTATTTTTGATTAATCTGCCGATCATTTTCTCGATTAGCTGATAATTCATTTTGTTTATGAAGTGTCAGAAAATAGTAAAATACCTATTACAACTTGGCATAGCCTAAGTGGACGTGTTCTGGTTGCTTGTTTTATTCAACCATCAGTCCAAAACTCAAAGATGCTCAGTTAATGTTTTGCTTTAAAAAATTATGTAAACCATTTACCGATTATAAAAGTAGCTGGTTTTAAAATAGGTCTCAAATTTTATTGTTGCAGCTCTAATGGCTATTGTCTCAGTTTGTAGTTCTTCCCTCTCTCATTTCTGACCCCTCTCTTCTTATTCCATCAGGCACTCTGGCCCCCTGCAGTCAGAGCGCCATCAGCCATCCTCGACGTGGCATTAGCATCATTCTCCAGATCCTCAACGACCTCCTCAGAGCCGCCTACCACCACCAGGGGGCTCAGCCTACCCCTCCCCATCTCCACTGTCTTGACTCGAACCCTGCAGCCAGCCCACTGCTCACACCAGAGGAGCTGAACAAAGCACAAAGCAAAACTCTTGCGACCCAGAGGCCAGAAAACCTCAGTAAAACTCCAGGTGAACGCATAATATTAGCACTTCAGGGGCAGACGGCATGTGTGGAAGGGGTTTGTGCCTGCTACTCTATGTCCTTTCCTTTATTACATCTGGCATGTGTTTCCATTACTTTGCTTTCTCTTTTGATTTAATCTCACTTTTCCTGTTATCTTGTTTTTCTGGAGTTTCCAGTTTACTAAGACCTTTTGACCGACAATTATAAACTGCATTTCCCATGTGTACTTGCATGAAAAAAATCATAAATATGTTGCTTACAACAGAGTTATTAACGACAGAACACAACAAACATTTCACTGTGTGTCGTGTCTAACAAGTTGTTATTCCTCCCCTCTCCTGCAGGTGAGGACAGTCCCCCCATCTGCTCACCCACACAGGAAAATCAAACTTTACACTGTAAGCTAGAGCGCCTGCAGTTTTTGATGCATCAGAGGCGTCTTCGCAGGCGGACTCGCAGGAACTCCCAAACTTCTCACCCCTACCAGCAGCGTCACCATTGTCCCTAGTGTCCCAGACACAAAAGATCCGCTCACTGTGACAGCAGTGGCAGCTGTCTGGTGAAGAGAAGGAGCCATTGTGGAAACCAAAGCTGACCTCTGAACTGCAGAGTGAACTCAGGGCCACTGAAGGTGTCTGAGACGGAGATGTTTTGTTGCTATTGTAACACTATTTCTGAAGAATGTAAGCTGAAAACGTCAGAGCAGTCTGATTCCTGTGGCTGTCACTGTGCTCAGCATGTTATTACATCTGTCCTTCAGTGACATTGGCTCTCATTTATGTAGCAGAAGGTTCCAATGTACATTTTCATGTTATACATCTTGTTGTGTTGTACAAAGATCTCTTACCGTATGTTTCTGTATTCCAATGCCTTAAATGTACATGTCTTGAATGTAAACTGTATGTTTTGTTCTGTGCAGAGGATGTTCCTCTAAAATATTTAACTTATGCAATATTAAAGTGTAAAAACAAGGAAGAGAAAAAGAATAAAGGGAAACGTTATGAATCATTCTTCATCTTACAAACTTCAAGCATGGACTTGAGGTATGGCCATGGGTGATCTGATGAGGAATCTTCATCTCCTTCTGCTGCTGTAGCCATAGTAACACTGCATAGGTACAATAATTGTCTTTCAAATGTAGTGGAGTCAAAGTAATATGTTTCCAAGAAAAAAAGTGCTCAAGTTAAGTACAGAGAGCCAGAAACTGTACTTAAATACAGCACTTAACTAAATAAACCACTGTAAATAACAAACAGTCCCTTATCCCACCACTACACCACTGATTGTGACGACATGATCAGTGTTATTCACTTTACCAGCCAGTGGTTTAAATGTCTTGGCTGATTGGTGTACACTGGTCACTGAAGATTCTCGTCATCCAGGTCATGGTAAACATAAGTGCTATATTGTAGGCTACTAGACTTGTTTGCGTTTCTTGAAGACGTTTCGCCTCTCATCCAAGAAGCTTCTTCAGTTCTAAATGAAACAGAGGGGGGTGGCTTACGACACCACTTATCACCCACCTACTGTACAATGCAGTCTTGGGATCCCTCCCCAGACGACTTCACACCCATTCACCCCTGAGCCTAGCAACTCACATGGTGGCCAGGAGGGTCAACGACTCATATTGTGACCCCAACGACTCTGAAACTAAGAGCTCACATGTGGCCCCTACGACTCTGCAAGGGTTGACACCCATACAGGGTTCAAAGCCTACAACTTCGTACCAGTTATTTAGAACTAAAGAAGCTTCTTGGATGAGAGACGAAACGTCTTCAAGAAACACAAGCAAGTCCAGTTGCCTACGATATAGCATTTAGGATTGGCTTATACCAAAACACACACCCATTTGTTCTCTCTCTTAATATTTAAACATCCAGATCCAAAATCAGTATATAATATATGACATTAATAATATTCTAATTCACTGGCATCTCTTAGAAAGGAAAAAACAAGTAGTCAAAGTTTTTCTCCTAAGATGAGATAAAACTTTATTAATCCCACACTTGGGAAATTCACGTCACAGCAGCTCAAAGCACAGACAGAAAAAGGAGGGTGGCTATGTTACTTGAATAAAAGAAAATTAAAGATTAAAAAAATATAAAATATGTGTTTACAGTATATGAATATATATATATATGTATAAATATATGTAGCCTACATATAGACAAAAAATATATATATAAAAAGTAAGGCACTAAATTGAATTAGGCTACTGTACACACAAGACTATTTACAATATATACACAGTATAATAAAGATTTACTACCTAAATAGTGAATAAGATTTTGTTTTTTTAAAGGCACATTGCTTATAATATAAAAGAGGTACCTATGAAGTAAAAGGGCCGATTAACATAATGTGACGAAATCCGCATATTGACCAGTCCACAGTGGTTACTGAACAAGTCCTGGATCTTTAACAGGGTTTTTGGCTCTTGAGAGTTGGTATATCATATCCATACATAGGTCAACAGAATGGACAAGAGCGACCATGGTGTTACATTAACAGTACACATGGTGGCGCTGTGGACTCATCATGTCTCTCTGTGACCGTTCATAAAGCAACAGAAGAAGACGTCACCGCGGTAAAAAGCGTAGCGCTCCTTCTTCACTCCCTCATTCGACCTGCAGCTCCGCGTGTCCGCTTCAGACTCCTGCCAGTGAAGAGGTAATTATTTTCAATACTCTTTTTCATTGTCTTTAATGGTCTATGTTGTTTGAATTACACATGTTCGCTTGCATCTGTATTTACAAGGCATTTTCAACATGTTTGCTGTTTTCCTGACTTTACGTTTTTAATGCTACTCTTTAAAAATCAAGTCGCGAACACAATAATGAAACCGTTATACAATGAATTGCATTGTGTTTCTTTTACGATGGAAACACGTTTAAAACAGAGTGGGGTTTAGCATTGTTGCATTTGTGTATCGTAACAGTTACCGTTATGTAACCAAGATTAAAAGGCACTCAGCCGCGTATGAAGCTGTCGTCGATGTCGGTCAGCGAAACAAAAGTGAGCCGAATGAGCTAGGTGCTACAAAATGGCGCCGAAAAGAAAAATGCTAGCCACATAATCCGCTAGCTAACGGTACCACGTTTGTAGGCCCCAGGCCATAGCTCGATTTGTGTTGACCATTGGCGGCAATTTGTTGTAAATACATGCAGAAAACACACTTATAACAAAATACCGAGATGTTTCTAAGTTTACGTCTGATTAATTGTATTGCTGAACCACGCAGAGGAGGGGAAACTGTTTTGATCAAAAATAACCATACACAGGTTGTGATGGCCGCTGACCTACTTTTCGTGTTGCGTGTGCGGTATTTGCGGATGTTTGTTAACGGGGGCTGTTTTCCGGATGGAATTGTTAATAATTTTTTTCTGGCTTTGTTTGTTCCTAGCTATAAAAAAAGATGTCGGACGAGGGTAAATTATTCATCGGAGGGCTGAGCTTTGAGACCAACGAGGAGTCTCTTGCCGCGGCCTTCGGCAAATATGGAACCATCGAAAAGGGTAAGTCCCTGAACGCATCTGCGTAATTTCGGGGGGGCTATAAATGATTGATGTCCTCACACTGATTGTTTTTAACCTCTGGAAATGTTTGTAATAAAATTTAACTGTTGGCTTTTTTTGTCCATCAGTGGACGTGATCAGAGACAAAGAGACGGGGAGGTCTCGCGGTTTCGGCTTTGTGAAATACGACAACTGCGACGACGCTAAAGACGCACTGGAGGGCATGAACGGCAAAGTAAATCAACACAACACGATAAAACACAATTTCGTTTTATTTGAACACTTACGTTTCTAATTTATACCGAAATTGTTCATTTTAATCCATTGCATAAACATTAGGTATTCACATGTGCTCATCTGTGCACATTAGTATGTATTTGTCCAGGGTGTCTGTTGTCCTTAAGTCCACTAAATGGTCTTTAACTAGAATTTAAGGGTTTAGTTACTACATTTGATCTAAATTAATTTATCCTTTTTTTAAAAAAAAAAAAATCCTTTTTTTTTGGGAATCGTTAATTGTAGACACCCTGTCATTTTAGTTGGTCCATATTATGTTAAAAGAAATGTGGCATATTAATAATATATGTTTTGCTTTGGTTTCAATTCTTTCTCTTTAAATTGGCAAGGATTGTATGCACAGGCTAGGTGATCCCTAACCCTCAACCCTTATGATAACTAAGCCATTGTGAGATAATCACCATATCAAACAGTAATAGTTGTAGTTTATTCATTAGATATTGCGTCTGTAAAACATATGTAAATAACTTTTTTTTTCTTTTTTTTTTTTTGGAAGACTCTAGATGGACGGGCGATCCGTGTGGATGAAGCAGGCAAGGGAGGACGATCCAACAGAGGGTTCGGGTCAGGCCCAAGAGGACAGCGAGGTGGATTCGGCGGGCGTGGGAGAGGTGGACGAGGTTACTCCAGAGGTGGACACTAGTGTCTGCGTTTGTACCATTCCACTGCTTCATATAAATATTTTGCTAAATAATATCTTTGTCTCAGGAGGTGGATACAACGGAGAGAGGAGTTATGACAGGGGTTATGGCGAGAGAAGCTTCGGTAATGAGGGCAGGTTTGGCGGCGGTGGCGGCGGCCAGTACAGGAATAGCGGTGGCTACTCCAGCTACAGAGAAAATAGGTAAGGATTTGTGAAGCCACATACAGGACTCCCTGACAATGTTGCTTGCGCAAAATGTGATGCAATTATATTAAATCTTGTTGCACTCTTTCCAGGGGTCAGGGTGGATATGGTGAGCGCTCTGGATCCTACCGAGATGGATACGACAGCTATGGTAAGCATGAATGATATGCATTTGTACTGTGTATGTAGACTTATGTTGGGGCTGTCATTTTCAAAATTTTTTAAAGACATCTAATAAACTTGCATTCAGATTGTTAATGACTTAAAATGCGTTACACGGACATACCAAAGTACTTGTAACATTACATCTAATTCAGTTAGACATATTGTTTGTGGTACATGTCACACTAGACGTCATACATTAAATTAGAAGAACTTTACAGCCCCAACATACAAAGACTTGTATAATGTATGTCCCTCAGTTTTGTCCCAGAGCCCAACTTGATGCCTCTTTATGCGGTTTCCAAATTTTGCTCCCCCCTCCCCCAGTCCCACTCTGATTAAAGAGGCTGGCAGAACTATTTTAAACAAATGTAACTTAATCTGATGTTGCTTATGTCTCCAGCGGATGGAGCCCCTTGTGCAAAAAAAAAATTGAGGGAGGGTTTATGGACTGTCTGGTGGGTTGAGGGGGATGTTGTGAAACTCCAGTGTTGGAACTTTCAGTGTCTTTACCTGTGTGCCCACTTCTTATCCTCAGCTACACACGAGTAAACATCTCCCTGATTCAAGATCATCACTTGGCTGGCTGTATTTCAAAGATGCGCTCCTCAAGAAAAATGTCCACGTGTTATTGCTGACCTTAGTTTTTGTAGTTCTGTTGTAGTAGCTCAAGCATCTTCAAAAAATGTAGCCCTGAGTTTTGGTCATTCCTTAACAAACCATGTTACAAATTATAGTTCAAGACTCTTACCTTGCTGATTGGGCATCTTTATTCCTCAAAGGTCGTTTGTTAACTAAAAAGGCATCTGTGTAATCTGATGAGTACTGTCAAGTCCCACTTTGGGGATTGAACAACGGCTCTCCACATGGCTTTTCGTTGAACAGCTACTACCATCGCTGTAGACTTTTTATCCAGCACGTTAAAGTGTTTCCTGAATTTTTGATTCCTTTAGTTTTTTTCTTTTATACTGAAATATCCGATGGGGCTTCTGTTTTTTTTTTTTTTTTTGGTTTTGTTTTTTTTCTTTACTTATTTCCCCTCTCAGTCTCTGTGGCCGACCTACCTCTTGCCAGGTTTTAAACTGAGTGAGGAAAGAGATCCAGTTACTCTTAAAACAGACTTTTGGGGGATTTAATGCTAAATTCCTTTTACTAGTAAAAACTTAGTCTAGCTGAGGCTCCTGTATGTTCAATTTCCCAAAAGAGTGAATTCCTTTCAGACTGGTGAACTACACATCCGAAGTGGCCGGCTGTTCATGAAGTTGCAAATTGCAGCATGCTACAGTCTGTCCAAGGTATCTTCTGTGCTCTGCTCAACATCTGCATTTTCAATGTGCTGTAAAATGGACTAATCTTGTTTAAGTGATCGAAAAATGTAACTTCGTTTCCCCAAAGTAATATCTCAACCGGGAACAGTTTTGTACTTTATGTTCTTTGTATGATCGTTTTTTTTCTTTGTCAGTTTGGCTTCATGGAGCCTATTAAACAGACTGTGGAAAATAATCTTGATTCTTTTGCCTTTCAAAATTACCGCATGGGGGAGTTAAGCTGAGAGCTGTAGGCTCATATGTTACTGTAATGCTGCGTGAGAACCACGTCAACTGCTCGAAGCACTGAGATCACACATGGATTTCTGTGGTGGGCAATTATAAATTGGCAGTTTAGTCTAAGTTATCCTGATAAAACAATGGAGGAATAAGCTGTAATTGGGTGTAGTTTAAAGTCCACTTCCAGTCCACAAGCTGCCCTCTAATCTAAGATTTCAGAATTAAAGATGGTTTTTGGCCCAGTGTGATGTACATGTCTAAAAACCATCAACTAGCCAGATGTGTCAGGCATCTTTTTAGTGTATTTAGCTCCAGCCTGTAGTGTCATTTGACTAATGAATCCCTAAAGTGGCACATGGTCATGCTGGGAAAACAACAGCCGGTGTCTGGTCATGTTAATGCTTCATTACGTTCAAGAGGTCAGCTACTTCAAAAACCAACAAGTCCTTGGAGAGTGAAGTGTTGCGCCTTCCAACAAGTGCTCATCAGAGATGAAAGCTGCTCTCTTGCCTAGGTCATATGTGGAGAAAGTAGGCCAATGCACGTGAGGTAAAAATCTCCTTTTGCTTTGCTCACATCCTTCAAACTCAGTTCTCATTGTTTCCATGAATACCTTCAAGTTAGTCGTTGTTTTTAGTCCCCTGCTTCAGATGTCGCCTACAACATGCCATGGCCTCTTCCCCGATTGGAAAGTTCATTGAGAAAATGTTTCTGTGAAGCTCGTCTGGATTGTAGTACTCCACTTCCTGAGTCCACCAAAAAAAAGCATTGGCCTCTAAGTCATGGGTAGTATTGTGCTCAGTCCACTTCTGTTCACTGCATTAGTCCTCAAATTTGCTCCAGTAATGTCCCACAGCAGTCCTAATTGATGTGTAAGGTGTCTAGACTGTACTCAGTTTTTCTTTGTACCCTTACATATGAATAAGCGGTGAGTTTCAGACTCAAATAGTGTTGCATGCATTTTGTGATTGACTTGTGTCAGATGTTGTTTTCCAGGTTTAACCCACCTCTTTATCTTTTTCTTTAGACTGAACTGGCTGTCTGAGGCTTCGGTTGATCTCCTCACAGCTTAAGTATCCGGCTTTAGATGGCAGAGATGGACGCAGATCCAGTGCTCAGGTAAACTCTTATGTAATTATTACAAAACAATGTCGCCTACATGTTTTAACTGGTGCAGTCAAAATTCACCCAGCTGATTACAATCTCACTGCCTTGTTTCAGGTCCAACGTGGCGCAGCTGTAAGCAGTGGCTACATGGGAGGAACCTGCCACGATCCTGCCAAGTAAAAGTTCATGACCTTTGAATATCAAACATTAACTTGCCTGTAAAACATTTTTCAAATGTAAGGGCCACGGTATTCAAAGGTCCCAGAGAGGAGGAAAAAACAGGCAAAATGAGAGCTGCACAACAGTGACTGAACATTTCTTGACTGTTCTTGTTTGAATGTGACAAGATGTCCTTTTCAAGCAATGGGCCCACATCAAGTGTGTAGCACTGTTAATCATTTTAATGCAGTCATTCAGTTGACACTTCAGTACTACTCTGCTGACTTATCTGTATGAATTGCAATTTCAAAAATAAAATTTCAGCAATCATAACCCACGTGTTTTCTTTACTCTTATAATTGCCAGAATATGTGACTTGGGTGATATTTGTTCATGTCTTTAATGCTATTTAATTATTTGGGAATGTTACAAAGTGTTTCACAGATAAAAACAAGGTTGAAGATGTAGCAGTGGTTTTAAAACTTATCAGTGTGCCTGCTTTGAAACATTTTCAGACACTTATCTCCTGACCAGTGCAAAACACTTAAAAAAAAAAAAAAAAAAAAAAGCCAACATTGAGGTTCAATACCAGTTTTGGGGTACTGATACTTGAGATATTGATTAATCTGAAAACTGTTGGCTGTGTATTTATAATACAGGCTGGTTTCCTTTGGCACATCTGGCACTTGTGGAGGTCTTTGTAAATTTGAAAGAGAGAGACTGGACTTTTCTAACATCTTGTTAGTGTATCCATCAGCCAAAATACAATGTTGATGCATAGTGGATCATGTTGAAGTAGTTAATATACAGTCTATTTGGGGTAATGGTGTAGAAATAGGGAGCATTCATATACCTATTTGGAAATTGCCATCAAAGCATTCATGTCACCCTTAGAAACAATGTGAAAAACACTTGCGTGCCACATTTCAAATGTTCAGTATCCATCACTTAACTCATGGCAACCAACTTTTCATCATCCCATAATACCTCTAAGCAAAATTACCTTGTATATTTTTCTGAAAAGCCCCTTTATGTGTAATATATAATTACTGCATCCCTATACCTGATTGTTCATGTTAACAGCATTTTAATACAGCTGGTCAAGGTGGAGCTTATTTTGTTTGATGTAATTTTGGATAGTTTGATTTTTCCCAACTGGTCCAGTCACAGGGTCCAGATTTCTTCAGTCATCAGTTCATGGTCCACACAGTTTAATAAGTTCAGCGTCATACTTGTGTTTGGCCATGTCATTGAGCTAGTTTGCTTTCTGTCATGTATCTGTCTATTAATCACTCTCTCCCCAACAGGAAACGGTAATTCAAAATAAAAGCTTGTGCTGGAAATTCACTACTTCAAAAATAAGTGTATTTTTACAACTTGACATGTTTGCGAGTCACCTGCGGTCCATTCAGAACACACCTGCGACCCACCAGTTGGTAACCACTGTTACAAGCTCTTTTGTTACAGATGAAAATGTGAACCTGAAAAGTATCTACTAACCATAAACACTATAGCATAAGATGCAACTCTAAAAGTATCAGTAAATGTACGTTTGACCACTGGGAGGTAGATGAGCTGTGACATTCAATCCAAAGTGAAACAAAGCCAGAAAAACCAGGATGAGGTACAGAAAAAAAAAATTACTTTAATATTGAACATTTACAAGCTGAATTGAGCGGGGGCTCAGGTCCATGTGGTGCCGGCTGTGGAAGGTGGTGGAGCTCGGGACAACGTACATATTTAGACGTACGACAAGAAGCCGTAACGCTTGTGCAGGAGCTCTTCGCGGGGCCGGAGGTTGAACAGCTCTTCTGTCATAGGGGCGACCCAGCGGTCAGTGTGGAAGGTGCTCTCACCGACCTGCACGGGCGTTAACGAGACAAACGGTTCTTATCAGTACAAAGACAAATAGTGTTGACCAGCATCTGGATCTGATATTTAACTTGAATTATTACTACCAATACATAAAATAGAAATAAGTTCCAAGCGCTCCTGCTGAAATAAAGATTGCATGTGTTATTGCCATTTCAAACTGAGGAGCAGCTTCAGTGTGTAAGGATTGTTTTTATACAGTTATATTCTCCACTCATGGACAAGAAGAGATTATATCGATGGCTAAAGAGTAGTGTTTCAAAATAAATATTGCTACCGTAGAAGTTATCATTTTACAGATTTTAATGCACTCTTATGGCTTCTATCCTGTTTTTTAACATCAGCTGAATCCTAATTTTCAACAGCTCATAGTAAACTATTATGAATTGTTGCGATGTGGTGACTCAAACCTACACTTTTCAGTAAAAGTGGGTTGAAAATGTTCGGATCAGTGCTTTTTGATAATAAGACATGAAATAAACATCCATCAGCCACAATATTAAAACCACTGACAGATGAAGTGAATAACTGTGATCATCTTGTTACAATGCGATGCTCTGATGGGAGTCTTTGAGTCCTGGGATTCATGTGGATGCCACTAACATGCTTCACCCACTCAAACACAGCTGCAGACCACTACACCCCCTCATAGCAACGGCACTCCCTGATGGAGAAAAATGAGCCATGCCACAGCTCAAAACACTCAAGGCCTCCACCTGGTCTCCAAACACCCCAGATCCCAATCTGATCGAGCATCTATGGGACACTCCCGCACTCCTCACAACTCACAACACTCAAAGGATCAGCCACCAATGACCCGGTGCCAAGACACTAAAGCAGAGTCAAGTGCGATCCATGGAGGCCTCACCATGGATCAGGGACACCTCTTGGCTACCAGCACGCCCCATGGATGCTCAATCAGACTGGGATCTGGAGAATTTAGAGGTCAAGTTGGCGCCTTGAGCTCTTTGTCACGTTCCTTGGGCCATTCCTGAGCAGTTTTTATGATGTGGCATGGTGCATTTTCCTGCTGGGGGGCCACCTCCACTGGGGAGTACTGTTGCCATGAGGGAGGGTACTTGTTCTGCAACAGTGGTTTATTGGGTTGTGTGTTTCATGTGGCGTCCACATGAATGCCAGGACCTGAGGTTTCCCTGCAGAACATTGTACTGTAACAAGACAATCAATGTTAACCACTTCATCTACCAGTGGTTTTAATATAGTGGCTCATCAGAGTATCTCAGGGTTCCCGTGGATCCTAAAAAAGTCTAAAAGGCACTGAATTCATTGATCTATAAATAAGGCCTTAATTGGTATTAAAATGCCTTAAATCAATGTTTCAAAAGTCTAAAAATGCTAAAATGTCGAAATATTTGTCTGCATCTTTCTTTAAAATTATCTCCCAAATGTCTGTTGCACTGACATCACCACATCATGATGGTGGAACCGACAGCACTCATATTTTGTTTCTGGCCAGGATGCTCAGAGCAGAGGTTACACTATATGCTAGCTAGCTGTCACTGTACCCTACACAACATGGGGGAGAAATAATTGAGTGAGTACTGGCTATTGAATTTTGGCTGTGCACGCACAAGGCAATGCATATAATGCTTGGCGTACCTGATGCAAAAGGTTTTCAAACTCAGCAAGGTTAGAACCGAGAGGAGTGAGAATCATAAAAAAAATCGCTGAGAAAATTTTGCCAACAAACGGCAGGTATTCACCAGTTCTGTTCTACCCTCCTCACCACCATGCCATGTCCTTCTTTGTTCTTAAATTATATTCCAAGTGGCATTAAAAAAGCCTGTAAAAAAGCCT